CCTTTTTACTGGAAATGAGGCATTCCATCTTAGTCCTCACGGGTGACAACGCATCTGCATTTTGATTCGCAAGCGAGGATAGATGTAGATGTCTATGGGCCGCAGCAACCACTTACCATCAGGTGGACTGTGTGCTCGTTTGTCACCCTTATCTTATAAAAAAAAAAAAAAAAAAAAGGGACAGATGAAAGAAAGAGAGAGTAGCCTCATAAACATATTGGCCTTTAAACAGAGCTAAATAATTTTAACTGATACCTACAAGTTTCCTTACTTAAATTATTAACTTTAAATGCATATTTAAGTTGAATGTTAAAATTAATTTTTATAATGTATTTAATTAATAGTTATTACAGTTTTTGTAATTATTATAATAATAGTTATATGAAAAATAAAGCAGCCATTATGTACTCCGTGTCCGCGTTTTTTATTTCAACAGCTAAACATTTTATAAAGTATAATTAGGTTTTTAGTTAATTATTTACATATTTATAGTCGATTAACGTTATGTTAAAAAAATCCCGGGGAAACTGTTAAGGCAGTAAAGTTTTCTCTAAAGGTCATACATAATTCGATAATACAACTACCCGATCTGATTCTTGGAGGAAATTGTTTAAGTTTATCGATAGACTCACCTCTTCAAAGATTATTGGGAATTTGTACATTTTGAATTAAAATACAACGAAAGGTAGGTACGTGCAGCTTATTCCCGGGAACATGTTATTTGAATATTTTTTTATTATTTTAAAACTATCAAGGTAAAAATTCAGTTAATTTTTGAGGTTTTTCAGTTTCGTACACTAAACCATATTTTTTTAATTTTTACCGCTTCCTTAGCAATCACTTTTCGATAGTCCTTGTAAATAAAATGCACATCAAGCACACAACGACAAATCAAAATTGGTTACACATTTTCAGGCTGTCAGGTCGTCTATACGCCAGTATATTCTAACTCTATGACCCTGTCTTACACCTCTGTGCAATTGGATAAGTTTCGTACTCTGATTCTGTACTCGGATAGCCATCGTAGCCCTACTGTACAAACACTTCAGCATTTCGATATACCGACAGTCAACTTGGCACCGCTGAAGGGACTGGCAGCACCGCCCAAATTTTGACGGAATCAAAGGCTTTCTCATAGTCGTAATGACTCTCGAAAATAGCACGTAGAGCCGGCTCAGAAGGGAAATCGGTCTGTAGTTCTTCAAAAGAGCGTTGTCGCTTTCCTCGAAGAACAAGACCACCGCACTTTTACTCCACGCCTCCGGAGTAGTGCCACCATGACGGAATTAAAGAGCTTCTGAAGGACTTCAAGTACCGGTTTTCCACCCGCTTTCAAAAGCTCCGCTGTAATTCCATCCTCGCCCGGGGACTTTCCGTTTTTAAGGTGCTGGAGAGCCATTCTAATCTCGCTCAGACTGACGTTCGGGATATCTTCGGAATAGTGACGGATAAGACTCGCTCTTGGATCGTTACTCACACTTGCATGTGACTCCAACGATGACGTGTACAGCTGTCCATAGAACCTTTCACTCTCACTCAAAATCTCAGGTGTCCCGGAAACGATGCTGCCACATTCGGTCCTCAGCTTTGACAGTTGGTTCTTTCTGGCAGACAGATCTCGTGCAAAGACTTTGGAGCCTTGGTTCCGCTCGATCGCTTCTTCAATACAAGCTGTATTGAAGATGCTTAAGTCCCGCCGCATGCATTTGGAGATCTGTCTGTTCAGTTGCCTGTATGCTGTCAAATCTGTTGAAGAATGTAGCTTTATCTCCCGTCTAACAGCCATGAGATTGAGAGTGTCATCGGAGAGTTTTTGTGTTCTTCTGCGGCGGGTCTTGCAGAACTTAGCTCCGACCGCATGGACAGTTTCCATGAGCTTTTCATTTATATCGTTCACTTCATTGCAGTCTTCTAGGCACTGAAAACGGTTTTGTAACTCGAGCTGAAAGGTTTTGGGACTTTGGATTAGAGCACGAGGGGGACGGAGCGTTGACTTCATTAGACGAGACCTCTCCAACCTAACGTTTAGGTTCAGTGTGCCTCTAACCATTCGGTGATCGCTACCAGTTTTCAGCCTTGCGATCACGGAGACATCACTGAACAGTTGTCGTCTGGTCATCATAATGAAACCAATCTCATTGTTTGTCGAACCGTCGGGGCTCGACTAGGTCCACTTCCTGTGGGGCCGCTTCTGGAAGAAAGAGTTCATCATAAAGAGTCCTTCTTTCTCCATGAAGTCGGCCAGCTGCTGGCCCCTTGGATTCCGTTGCCCTATTCCAAATTTCCCTACTTTCAGGTCTCCGTTCCCTCCTGTGCCTAGTTTTGCATTGAAGTCTCCCATTAACACCGTATAGTGGGTTTTGGAGGAATGCATGGCTCTAGAGATATCCTCATACATTTCCTCCACCTTCTAATCGGGGTGTGCCGAGGTTGGTGCGTAAACCTGTATAACCTTCAGCGAATACCGTTTGGTGATTCTGAGTATAAGGTACGCAACCCTCGCCGACACACTCTCGATCTTTACAACGTTCTTAACGAGAGACTTGTGGACGATAAATGCGACAGATCCTCCTAGGGACAGATGGTCGCCCTCCCGGTGATAGAGCAAGTTACCGGATTCGAGGATTACCGTGTCCTCCCCCTCTCTTCGGACCTCGGATTATTCTATAATATGCCAGCGTAACGTGTCTATCTCTTCTTCCAGCTCCACGATCTTCTCGTCAGTCCTCAGGGTGCGTGCGTTGTATGTTGCCAGACCGAGTCGTCTTAGGTGGCAACCGAACCTCCCTCGGAGGTTCTTAGCACCCCCTGCCCCGCCGTTACCATGGTCGCCACCGTAGCCAGGAATAGCGGGGTCTCTTTGTTACTCTCATCAGCGGGTTGGCAGCCGCAGTTTTTTTAATTCTAATTTTGCTGTTATTAGGAAGATGCTGCTGCCCATCTCTTGCCTGTTTCCCTTTGTCGCCTTTTACGACACCCACAGGAAGATATGGGATAGTGGATATTCTTAACCGCCACTACACGGCTACTACATTATGATTATATTATTATTTTGAAGTGGAGAGAAGTTTATAGAATAAGATTGAGTGGTTTTATTACGTAGAAGTGGTGTGATTTTGTGTAAATGTCTCCGCATGTTAACTATTAGTAGAAATCATAGATAATATACTATACTGGTGACGTCTGGAAAATTATATGGTGTTTTAAATAAGTGGAATAAAAGCTATCCTCGAAAGTATTTGTAAAATATAACTGGTAGGCAAAATTTCGAAAAATCAAAAAAAAAATTACATAAAAACAATTCATCTTACGGCATTTGCGTGAAACTAAAAATATGTGATATTAAACGGCGTAGGCTACGAATGAATGAATGAAAGTTGTTAACGCTGTAATGACCAGTTTCTAATAATAATTTTAATGCATACCGTATACTGCATCATCTTAAAAGTATTTAAAAGATTGAAATGAACTCATTTACAAACTACACTGATTGATATTTACAAAATTATACTACATTATTGATATTTACAAAAAAAAATACCTTTTTAACGATATCGCAGTAATTGTTTAAAATGTCCACCGTTTCTTTCTAAACACAAACTAGCAAGTCTTTGTCAATTATTTGTTAAACTCCGAAGCATGAAAGCGTGTCTAAATTTCTATTTATCACATTAAATGCGTTTATTATGAGCTGCTTTGAATCACACACTTTTTGCTTCTTCTGTGAACGCTAATCGTTTTAGTTCAGCCCACAAATAATAGTCTAGAGGTGTTCGGTCTAGTGATTTCCCCGGCCAGTTCAAAGGTCCACCGCGATCTAAATTTCGACTCGTTGGTCAACTAAATGTTAACCTGCGCATTGTCCTGCAGCCAACGACAAAAATTCCTTGTGTGGTCCGGGGTCCGGCACATGCAAAGCTTGGTATGGATGTATATTCATTGAACGACGTAGCTATCATAACACGTTCCCGGTAAGGCGCTTGTCGATTTGGCGTAAGCCAGTATTGGCTTACGCCAAATTGACAAGCGCCTTGCCGGGTGCTCTTTCTCGGGTGTCGTTGAAAGTAGTCCAATATGGCATCTTCAACGTGTCTGAACAAGGGTGGCCGGCCCCTGCCTCTGGTATGGCTGGCAAGTCGGTACTGACCATGATCACGTAAGCTCTGATACTTCCGTAATATTAAATCAGTGTAGGTGTTCATCTTTTGCGTACATTCGTCTCGTACAAACTACTATCAGCGGGTGTCCGATACAGACACGGAAACATAAACAATACGATGTCACGGCGTGGCTAATTGCAGGTGACTGAAAATTGAAATAAGAGCGCGTGGCTCAAGTGAATATGCGCGGGCAGCACTTGCGCATGCTAAAGGACATCAAAGATGCATACCGCGGGTGCGTCTAGTGTCGGATGCTTTTAATGTAAACTATAGAATCGCGTTCCACATTCATTGATATTATTGCCGCTCGTAAAGTAAAATTTTTGTATTTTTTTTTTGTATGGAAAGTTTACTTAAGTTTAAAGTTTCAAATCAGTAGAATTTATTGCTAGACCAATTTCATATTTGGAAAAAAAATGTAAAATACCTGTGCCATAGACACTAGGAGTAGAAACTCCGTTCACCAGTTGCTCCCTATTTTTCCAGAACGTAAAAAAAGTATAGTGGAAACGAGAACAAGTGCTGCGATGGTGATATAAATTTCAAAGTCATAGGCTGGCCGCTGGGTCAAGCTGTCATCAAAATTTCTCAAAAACTTTGCAATGTGACGCATCAGTTTAATATAAAAAAATTAATAAATAAAATACAGATCGGCCAAGGCTGTATAGTATGAAACCTTTGCCTGCCTTAATTGGCAAACGGTAACAAGTAATAACAATTAAACTAACCTTAAAAATTCACGTTGTTGAGATTTTTGAAGTAAACAAAACGAACTTGAGTTTCAATTTATTATAGATTTGAAATTAAACTTTTATTGGCTGCTGAAATTAAATAGAAAAAATGGCAGAACAAGTTAATCAACGAATTGAGGGAATGATAAATGAGTTGGAGCAAATGAGAAGGACGAATTTATATGAAGACGATGAAATAAAGTTAGTATCTATCGGATTTATGTTCTATCGTAGATTTTCTACGGTCTAATATTTGCTCTATTTTTCGTTGCTATTAAATTATCTTATTTCAGAGAAATATCACGTAAGCGTAAAGAGTTTGAATACAGGATACAACGCAGAGTAAAAACCAAAGATGATTTTGTTCATTACATAGCTTACGAGCTAGCTTTACTTGAAGATATTTCGCTTAGAAGGAAGCAAGCTAAACTTACTGAGAAAAAAAATGACATAGAATATGCAATAGCAAAACGCTTAAACAAGGTGTTCAAACAATTTATCTACAGATTTCAAAATGATGTTGAGATTTATTTTGAATACATTAAATTTTGCATTAGTGTTGGCTTTGATCATGCGGTGTCCGGTATTATTGGTCAGATGTTACAGGTATGGTTCCAAAGTGATAAATGTAAAATAATGTTCATATGAGAGGGATATTTGCCATAGACACTTGGCAGGTGGTTTGGCAACCATAGTTTTTTTGTTATTTTATGAAACGTTTAGATACTCACCGAGTACAGATGTATCTTATTGCTTTTGATTGTGTTTGCCATGAGCCATTATTCAGGAAGCTACAGTACTATGGTGTCAAGAAAACAGCACTTAAGTTTATTAATTCATATTTAAGTAATAGAATGCAGAAAGCTATTATCAATGGTAAAAGTTCTTCCGGGTCTTCTGTAAAGATGAGCATCCCTTAGGGCTCGATTCTTGGCCCATTCCTATTTTTAGTGTATATTAATGACTTGCCTTCCCTTCTAGGGGATAATCATGATATAATATTATTTGCTGATGATACTTTGATTATGATTTTTAAACTTAAACATTATCATTTAAATGTGACGAATAATGCTATATCAAAATTAGTGCATTGGTTTAACGTTAATAATCTGCATTTAAACAGCAATAAAACTAAATGTATTAAATATACAACAACAAATGTTAAAAATCTGAATACCAATGTGTTTTTAAATGGGGAAGAACTGAGCCATGTTGAATCCTCTGTTTTTCTTGGCATCACTTGATATGAGGCTTCAGTGGGGCCCCCATACATCCAAACTAGCAAGCAGACTAAGCTCAGCAGCTTATGCTGTAAAAAAGATTAGAGATCTCACTAGTGTCAAGACTGCTAGATTAGTTTATTTCAGTTATTTCCATAGCATAATGTCTCATGGGATTTTGCTATGGGGAAATGCAGCTGATTTAGAAACTGTTTTTGTGTTGCAGAAGAGGGCCATAAGAGCTTTTTACAACCTTAAACCGAGAGAGTCTCTTAGAGAAAAATTTAAAGAATTAAATATATATAATATAATATTATACTTATAAAAACTAAAGAAGCAGAAGATAGGCAGTCGACATCATATTATATATGTTGGCATGTTTCATATACACATATTAATAATATACAAACCAAACCCATTGCATAAATTATGTCGACTGTCTGTCTTCTGCTTCTTCTATTTTTATAAGGATAATATAATACTGTACAAAATGTTTATAGTAGTACTAATGGTTCTAAGATCAAGTGATCAAGCAGTGCTTTTTATTTAACGAGCCAGTGGAGCATGCATGAGATTTTATCTTTTTTATTTCTTAACCAATTTAAATGAAACATTAACATTAAATGTTAGTGCAAGCTTATCTTAATGCATCACTGAAAATCAGCCGAAATGGTACTGCCCTTGTGAATATGATGATGCATACAAAAATAAATAGACAAACGGAAAAATTTAAAACTTATGTATTTATTATAAAAGCAAATTATATTTCAATTGTAAAATCTTTTTCTCAATTTTGTTGCAGATTCATGGTGACAAGCCTAAAATGTGGCAAATGGCTAGCAAATGGGAAAGCAAAGAACAGAATAATTTTGAAAATGCCAGGGGTTTCTTACTTAAAGGAATTCATAGACATCCAGAATCAGACATTCTGTATTTGGATCTTTTTGAAATTGAACTTATGCTTGCATTTAAAGCAGAAGATGAAAAAGATAAGGTAATAATGTGAAAAATTGCTTCATTTAAAATAATATGTAAGTAGTCTGTAAAACGCCGCTTGTGTGGCTGGATCCAGTTCTATGCAAAAAAATATGTGTAATTTTAATAAGAACAATGCTTCAGTTACCTATGGATTAATTCTTTTTATTTTTTTATATAAAATAATAATCTTTTGAGATTATTATTTTTAGGAAAAGTATCTTAAAAGAGCTGACATTGTGTGGAGAAATGGTATGAAAAATCTGCAGGATATTTTATTTCTGTTTAAAATTTGTAATCTCTCAATGAAATATGGAATTGACCAATCACTAAGCAACAGTATTAAAGAGGAGATATGGTCAAGAAAAAATGACAGACAGATATGGATGTACATTGCATCTAAAGAATTGGAAGTATGTATAACTAAGATAATATACTTTGTCTCTTTGTAATTACTTTTTTTAATGAAACTATAACTCTGTTGATACTAGGAGTGTTTAAGAAACAGCTTTTTATTCGATGTAATTAATGTTATAATTTGTAACATTACATTAAGATATAATATGACATAAGACCCGAACTTATTGATAGTCTGAATCAAAATAGAACTTGGAATCTAATTTGGAAATACACCTGTAGTATGCAACGAAAATTTAACAGGATGAAGCTAAAGCAAGTTGTGTATGTTGTATGGGTGGGGTATCTTTAAATAATTAAATAAACATATCATGTTTTAAATAATCATGTCTAAGAGAATTATATTTCTATCATGTATGCATAAGTGTATGAGACATTGAATTAAATAACTTCATTAACACTTTCACAGGGTTATCATTGGGATGAGATTGAAGAATTTATTGACGATGAGTACCATTTCCCAAAAGAAATAAAAAATTATATTTGTATATACGAGGAGGCACTGCAACAGGTTAGTGAAATCAATTGTTTATGACTTATTATTATTAAATATAGAGTTTCTGCTGTTCTATTCCAGTCCAATTTATTTTATAGAATAAAGTTGACTAAGATGCACACAGATCACCTGATGGTAAGCGGATGCTGTGGCTCATAGACATCTACATCTATCCTCGGTTAAGAATCAAAATGCAGATACGTTGTCACATCTGAGGACTAAGATGGAATGCCTCATATCCAGTAAAAATTATCCATAATTAAAGGTACCATATTCTCTGAGAATATCTTAGAGAAATTTGAAAAAATCACAAATATATTATGTACATGATATGGTACATATTTTTTAATATTCTATATTTAATTTTGAATATAAATCAACACTAATGTCGTCAACGTCAAACCTTTAGATAAATTTCTAGATAAGGCTTTTTATAAATATTACCAAACCTTCAAAATGGTACAATAGATACTTAATTTTCGAGTCTCACTGAAAATACGGCAAAAATAGGTGCCTTTTCATCAAACAAGGGTCGGGCTTCAAAACTCAACGCACATATGCACACATGCACTCACGCAAACACGTACGCACACACACACACACGCAGGAGTCCAGACAGCACTGATACGTTTATAAATAATGTCATCTGTGTTCTATTATGATTATTTTATTTATTATACGGTGAAATTATATAATTAGGATGCTTTTAAAAAAATTAAATTTTTCGTGAAATTGCTTTAAAATCACTTTATTTAGGTTGTATTTAGGTTGGTTGTTTGCAATGTACGACCAAATTTGCAGAGGTTTCATAATAAGCAATATAGGCGAATGGTGAAGAAAAATTAATTAAAAAAAACTCAAACATTCTGTCCTTTTCATCTTTTAAAATTCAGAATGCGTGGTAATGCATTATATTAACTGATTGTCATTCATAAATACCTAACGCCTACTATTTTACTACGCACGCACACATTTGTAAGGGTCGGTTGATCGGCAAAAACGTTGTGAATTGAATCGCACACATAGGAGCGCGCGTACGCGTAGTTGTTGCCCATAAATCACATTCAATTTGGGATGATTTCAAAAAGAAGTAGAAGCCTAATTACTCGTATATTCAAAAACTGCTAAAATGTATAAAATTTGGCTACTCTTTGAAAAATAACCTTGTATAGGTAGGTACATTCTACTTCTAGCCACGGGCCATCTCTTATTTCGGAGACAATTTTTGGAGCAGAATAAAGTGTGCCATTTTGAGTTGGCAAGCTTCAAACATTCCCGAAATATATATTTTTTTTCAGATATGCGTGTACTCTCACATTTTTTTTTATATTTTAATATTTGGACTAGTTTCCAGATGAAAAATTGTGTACAAACTACATCCATGGACTACTGAAACTAAATGATACATTGTGTACAGATCAACAAAAGATTAATGCTGTTAAACATGCATGGTATTATGGTCATGAGAATGGTTTACTGTCAAATGACATGTATGCTTTCGGTATAGAAGTATTAAAATTAGAAGATGACCTATCTACTGAAGAGCTTATGAAGGTACTAATAAATAATGTTTTTGATTATATACATATTATATTTGAAAGTTATTGAGAGGTATTACATGACTATTGTTGTACTCTAATTAAGCCTTTGAATTTTAGGTTTTTGTGTTGGGTTACTTACAATTTCTACATAGTTGGATTATATTTGTATTATCTTTCTGAGGAGAAATCAAGAAGAAAAGTTTATAAAACCATAATATATATTTATAAAAATAATTAAGTCTCCTTTTTGCAGATAATAGAGACAGCACTTGCCAAAAATCCACATGCAAGGTATTTATGGGAAGAAAAATTACTGTTATACAAAACTAATGAAATAAAACAGTTATCAATTCTACAGGAAGCTGCGAAAATTTTAAAGCAAAATGATTACTTGTATCTATGGAATTTAATGTTGGATAATATTGAAACACAGGAAGCTGTAGGTGTCACAAATATCAATCTAACCTTTCTTTTCAAATTTTTTTAACAGATGGTTAAGTAATAACCCACTTTTATATACTGAGAAAAATAGCACTAGAGAGCTTAATTATTATTTTCGTCAATTTTGTGAAAAAAATTAAAAAAATTGTTTCTTTTATTAAATTGAAAATATGTGTTATGTATTGTATCATATAGTAGTAGTTACATTGTTCTTCTAACTCAATTTGACCAGAGTCACATCTACCAAATACTGTTTTTGAAGTAATCAACTGGTAATACTGGCAGATGTAGGGATGCAATTTTTTTCGCTAGTTTTAATAATATTCAAAAAAAGATAATGTGGTAAATGCCAGTAGACTTTTCAGTGTTTACTTACAGAAAAATCATATTAATTTTGATTTATATTACAAAATCATGTCTATAATATTGTTACTATTGATTATACACAATACATTTTATATGAATGTTGGTTGGTTAAAAACTATTCAATATTTAAGATTAACTATTTTAAATATATTTCAGCTGCAAAATTGCTACGTGAAGTTTAAAAAATGTGAGGATGCTGTACTGCTAGCAATTAAACCTAAGCTTCTCAACAAAATGTATGAAAAATGTGGACTAAAAGCAGCAAGGGATTTATATGAGGAATTTATAAGAACCCCACCTACACAAACAGAGGTTCATATGGTCATGATAAGAATAGAAAGGATGCAAGAAAAACCTAATTTAAAAAATATTAGAAAATATTTTGAATGTTTAATTCAGCATCATGGCACGGAAAATGGCCAAGTTTGGATTGATTATATAAATTTTGAAATTCAAAGTGGAAGTGCTCAAAATGCACCAGCAATATACAGGAGGGCAGTAGCTACATTGAAAAAGGAATTAGTTGATGAATTTATTAAAAATCAAACAATGTCTCGAATAAAGTAGTTATGTTTTGTAAATGGTTTAATAATAATACATATTATGACAAACAAAATATATTTTATTTTAACCACACCTTTAGTCAACAATCTAGCAGAGTACTCAGGTAGTACTTTTTATTCTAAATGTATTTACAATTACTATTTAAACATTCAAATCATCTAAAATAGTTGAATCTCTACTTTGGTGATTATGGAATAACACTTAGCAAATTAACACAAATAGATAAATGCAATGCTATTTCATGTTCTTGCAATTACTGCATTGCTGAAATAGGAGCAATGTAGTACCTAAAGATTAATGAGGAACCACGTTTATGTTGCTTATTTCTCAGCAAATCTCTCCAACAAGCTTGCCACGATGGATGTTTAGGCATAGCAGGAGGGTTGCCTGCTTTAAGACTTGATCCGGCAACAGCCATACATGTAGAGACCACAACCAAGGGGTATGTCACAGTGCTTGTAACAAATGTTAGTAATGGAACGGTATAGTAACGAAGGTCTTTTGTTTTCACCAAATATTTGTTGACATAGTATGCCAAAACTCCTGTGACTGCTACACATGTCAAATCTCCTAGCAGCTTAGGAATTATACCATGAAAGAAACCCAATAATCCATCATCCCTGTAGATTGACACAATGGCGCCCAATAATGTACTGTACTCTTCCTCTTTTCCAATAAACGAGGCCATCATTCTGATTGACACTACATGGAATGGGTATGAAACTACAACTGAAGCAGTGTGCATTATCATATCACGACGACCAAGTTTGATATAGTCTTCCATCTTCGGTTCTTCATCAGTAACGATATTGGGAGGATCATTAATTTCCTCCAAGTCAATGCCACATGCGTTGATTACCTTCGAAGTCAGTTGACTGGAAGCTATGAGTCCAAGAATTCGTGCCGATAGACCTCTGTAGCAACCAAAGAAGCCGTCTGAAGCTTTAATAAATTTAATATATTGAAAGACATTAGGTAATATCATAGCAGGACGCCCAAAGAGAGTAGTAGATCGGCGCGGTGGCAATGGCTCGTATCCAAGCTGAATAAGAACTTTTGCATATTCCATTGGGTGGCATATTGTCGTTACAAGTAATTGCGAAGGAAGGGCCGCTATCTTTTCTTTTTCAATTTCGTCCATATTATGACAATCTGACCGAGACTTTCTGAAATTAAAAATGACAAATGACAATTTGACATTCTGTTTTGTTGTTACGATTTGCCAATTAAGGTAGGCAAAAATTTTACATCATACAGTCTTGTCTGATGTGTATTTTATTTATACAAAATTCTGAAGCGTTCACATTGCGAATATATTGGGAGATCTTGACGACAACTAGATCCAGCGGACAGTTAATAATAGTCCATAGTACATATTTCAAGCGGATAAAAACCAAAATAGTTCACATACGCAAATATTTACACAAAATAGCACCACTTTTACGTATCCAAATCCACTTCAAACTATTAAATAAACGATAATACATGAGCAACAATACGCCTGCGGTCAAGTTCCCGCCAAAACGTCATTGAGATATTATGTACGTATTATTATAACGTACAGTATATAATAATTCAATGCAACACCTCCTTTTTTAGGTACGTATAAAGTATGGTAAACAGGGTATACTTTTTGATGTAGTTAAAATATATAATAAACTACCCGAAAAATTTTTTTTTTAATATTACTTCTTATAGTACTTTATAAGATATGTGAGAAGTATGTGTTAAACCATGGTTTGAGTTACAACATTAATAAAAGCGAGTCTATGGCGCTTAGTGCCATCGATTGTAAAAGCCTAGAAAATGTGCCTGCTAGTAAATTGAATGGCACTGAATTGGAACCTGTTAGTAAATTTAAGTACCTAGGGCATCTTATTAAAAGCAACGTAGGGCGCTGGTATTCTGATGATATCCAGACACGAATGTTTTCGCGATGTAGTAAACAAGTAAAGATAACATTATTTAAGGCCTACTTCTACATGTGCAGCCTGTGATCGAATTATTCACAGCGGACGGCTTCAGGATATTTTTGGGGCCATTCCGACTTTACAGTGCATCAGGTATATATGCAAAGGCGCATACAGATGACTATTATACGCCATTATAAGAAAGAACAGCCTCGTTTCTTGGCAGGGTGCGGGCTAGCTCCAACTTCATTATGAGAACTGAAAAATATCACTCATTTCTTCTTAAGTAGTGTTACCGTATCTGTTTAGTAAATGGGACACATGCCATTAAGTATTAAATTTAGGTACTGGCATAGGTTATAAGTTTTATATTTACTGACAAACTATGTGGATTTTAAATGAATTTTAAATGAACTAGTATCTTTTTCGGCGGTGTAAAAATATCCACTACCCCATATCATCCCGCTGTTGTCGTAAGAGGCGACAAAGGGGAATAAAACAGGAGATGGACAGCGGCATCTTCCTGATAGAAACTAAAAAAAAAAAACTGCGGTTCCCAACCCACCTGCCAAGCGTGGCAACTATAGCAATTATCCTCCAAAAGGCAATCTATGTTGCAACAATCAATGGAACAGTGTAATATGTATGTAAAATCAACTACAGGACTGATTCTGGTGGTGGAGGAGTTTCAGCTTACGTCCACAATAGCTTAATTAATATCGGAGTCTAAATACTTAGCCGGAAATAACTATTTATGGATAAAACTACAAAGATACGCAATAGAAGTGGGTGCTGTATACAATCCAGGGCACACAGATTTTAAAAAAATTCTCGAAACATACGAATCTCAGCTGGAAAGTAGAAATAGAGCAATCGTCTTTGGAGATTTTAACATTGATCTATTAACAAAAGACAAAAAGACCAAGCAGTACACCCAACTCCTAAAAGAATCAAGTTATACAACCCTCAACAAAATTAACAAGAAATACTGCACGAGAGAAGGGGCAACAAGAAAATCAATCTTGGACCATGTAAGCACCAACCTGAAAGATGATAGTTTTCACATGATTACAGTTAATTCCTCACTATCAGACCACAAGCAGATATATTTAGAAATTAAAAAAGTGCAACCTCCACCGAAAATAATTCCCAGTATATAGCTACAGATTATGAAAAACTATTCCACTTAGCCAAAAACACATAATAACACAACAAAAAATGTATATAATATGGACTACACAAGATTAGAGGAACATATTAAAAGATGCGCAGAGGACAGTAAAGTAGTAAAAACTAAAATCCTTAACCAGCCGTAAAAGGACTGGATAAATAAAAATGTAATAACTGAAATAAATAGAAGAAACACTTTATGGGACGAGCTCAAGAAAACTCCAGATGATAACGCTTTAAAGGAAAAATTTCAGTCAAAAAGAAACCAAGTTGTAAAACTAATCCAAGTCACGAAGGAATCATACTACCACAAAGAATTTGTCAAATATAGTAACAATGCCAAGAAAATGTGGAACGTAGTAAACAATTTGTCAAGAAATAAAATCAAACAAAGCTGCACTCCTTCAAAGCTTGTAGTAGACTCAAGAGAAACAACAGACTCTCACCATATCTGTCAAGTCTTTATTGAATATTTCTCAACAATAGGTACACATTTAGCAAATAAAATTCCTTTAAAATTTCATGATAACTACATTCAGGCCTTGCCCAAATCTACCGAACAAAACTCACAAATGTCGAAATTCAAACCATGTACTGTACAAGAAATTTTAAATATTATTAACAATCTTGACCCCAATTGCAGCATCGGTTTAGACGGAATTAGTACCAAAATTATAAAATGTATAAAAAATCTGATAATAAACAAAATAACGGAATGCTTTAATAAATTACTTCTTGGTGTTTTCCCAGATACACTAAAAGTAGCCAAAGTCTCTCCTATCTACAAATCAGGACCAAAAACTGATATAGGCAATTACCGACCTATCTCAGTGTTGCCAGTTTTATCAAAGTTCTTGAAAAGTTTTTACACACAAGATTACAAAAGTATCTGAACTCTATTAACTTTATATCTGAACGACAATATGGTTTCAGGCCAAAAAGTAGCACACTTACTGCAACAATTGATCTTATAACTAAAATAAAACATAGCATAGATCAAAAAAATATAGATATTCATAGATCTAAAAAAGGCGTTCGATACGGTCAGTCAAATTGTTTATTAAAAAGTTAGAAAGAATCGGTATTACCAGCAAAGTTTTGAAAATGTTTCAATCATACCTGGAAAATAGATCACAAGTAGTCAAAATAGGCAACATTCAAAGTAATTCATTAGCAATAACTTGTGGAATTCCTCAAGGATCAATTTTAGGCCCGTTGCTCTTTTTGACCTATATTAACAACATACATGACCTAGGTTTAAATGGCCATATTAACCTTTACGCCGATGATACCTGCCTATTTTACTTTGGTTCATCAATACACGACATAATGTCGCAGGCTCAAGACGATTTAAACACCCTATATGATTGGTTTCAATATAACTTATTAACCATAAACATTTCAAAAACTTGTTACATTTTATTTAGGGCCAAAAATAAATTCATTGCCCCCAACACTCTCCGCTCACAATTAATAATATTCCCTTAGAAATGAAAAGTCATGAAAAATTCCTTGGTTTACAAATTGACACTCATTTCCCACAGTGGTAGAGCCACGCGTCAGCTTTTGCTGTCGCACGGATGGGCCGGCTCGAACCGGGGTGGTACCACGACCTCACAGAATACCAGCGTAAAGTAGAGGTTTACCTCTGCGTTTCGCTTGGTGAGTGCAGGTGGCCGGAGGCCCTTTTTACTGGAAATGAGGCATTCCATCTTAGTCCTCACGGGTGGCAGCGCATCTGCATTTTGATTCGCAAACGAGGATAGATGTAGATGTCTATGGGACGCAGCAACCACTTACTACCAGGTGGACTGTGTGCTCGTTTGTCACCCTTATCCTATAAAAAAAAAAATTAACATGGAAGCACCACATCGAACACATAAAAACGTAACTGGTGTCACTTTGTGGTTGTCTTCGTCATATTGTCCGATGCATTCCTAATAAATTACGTCTTACATTATATAATACGCTAATAAAGCCACATTTAACCTACCTCATCTAAGTCTGGGGGAATGCAGTAAAGACAAGGATAAGTGAACTTCAAATTTTACAAAAATAAACTCGTTAAAGTGCTCTTTAATTATCACTTTTTAACAAAAACCAAAAAAATCTATAATGAAACAAAAATATTTAATATTAAAAAAATGTATATATACAATACTTGCATTTTTATAAGAAAAGTTCTATATAATGATATTCACACTAGCTTATAATAATTCGTAAAACGTAAAAAGGTTTACAACCGCTGCTGCTCTCGTCGCGCGAGTTTTCTCGTCCTACCCAAGACTCGAACAAATTACGGTAATACAATGTTAACATTTGAAGGAGCGGAACTTTATAACAAATTACCCGCACACATAAAAAATGTTAGCTCCTTCAACACATTCAAGAAACAATTGTATGAATATCTTGTTGCAAATGACTGACTTAAATAATCGTGAATGCGTTGCGCGGGTGAAGTGTGTGTATTTTTGGTGAATTTAATTTGGTAAACGACTGTGAAATTTACTTTCAACTATGTACTCATGTAAGTGACATGCATTTGTCTTAATTAGTAATAAATATCTTTAAACCTAAACGTAAATGAATAAGTTTTCTGCGTTCGGCTAAACGGTATGCTAGTTATAGTCAATTATGAGTAAGGTAAACAAAAATTAATCAACGCTTAAGTAGTGTTCGATTTGTATAAATATTATTTATTTGACAATTTCTGTGTATTTTAGGCACTTGTGGTTAGCTCTATTGAATTCTCTTCCTCAATTTTATATGGTAACTGCGTTGTTAATGTGGCCGCTGATACATCGCTGGGATGTTTTGATTTGTCAGTCTCCTGTAATATAAAAATAAAATTAATATATTATTTTTTAACATGTAGTTCTCTTACCTAATCGAAATGTATGTATTGTAATGTACTTTTTATTGTCTTATTTGTGAATTAAACATTTGATTGAGTGATTTTTTTTAGTAAAATACTAGTAATGCTATTAAACATTACTAATATTCCCTTTAACCACTTCTGGTAAGCTTACAACTCTTGTGTTAGAAGCGGTTCACGACAGTAGTCGAATGGCGGATTCAAACCCACGACCTTTCGAGTTCGCGGTCCATGCCCTGCCATTAGGCTACTGACGCTTAATTTTTTGTTTTATCACCGTGATTTATCGTAAAGTAAAGTAATTGAAAATTTCAATTGCATTAGATATTATGTAATGTGTTTGTCTATATTTTTCTCGTTATTTTTAATAACAGTTCTCATAAGATTTTTTAACTAAAAGTAATGCCTGAAGGAGAGCGTTCGGCGTGCAGACATTTTTGTATGACAGTGTCTTGAGTGACGGCCAAGTTTTATTGTTATGACGATTGCTGGATAATATCGTAACATCCATAGTTTTAACAAATATCTTCTTTAAAATATTTTAGGAAATCGTGCGAGAGCTCTAAATGAAATAAAGGCGGTATTGAAAAACAGAGCGTACCGAGTAAACTGATCCCGCACCCATCATAGGGATCAAAGCACGTAGCGTTCGCCACCATACATACGCGTATCTTTTTTAAATCTGTGGATGCTACACACGATATCTGACACCATAACCACGCGACCGCGAATGGATCGAGGTGTGTGTACGAGCTACGAGTATATATATTTAAACATGGTAGAGCCATGATGCAGCTATATTAGTTGTATAGTTGTAGTACGAATAGCTCGGCTCGACCGGGGAAGGACCACGGTCTCACAGAATACCAGCGTAAAATAACAGCTTAACGCTGCTGTGTTTCGTATGGTGAGTGTAGAGAACCGGAGACCCTTTTTACTGGAAACGGGACGTTCTGTCTTAGTCCTCACGGGTGACAACGCATATGCATTTTGATTCGTAATCGAGGATAGATGTAGATTTCTATTGACCGCAGCAACCACTTACCATCAGGTGGACTGTGTGCTCTCTTGTCACCCTTATCTTATGAAAAAAATCTTGTTTATTATTTATTTAATTGCATGATGCTACTAAAAAAGATATTACGGAGATCCTTATACAACAAGTTACAAAATACCCCGTAAAAAATATAATTAATTATCAAAGCCAAAAATTTTGTCATCCCTAGTAAGCTTTCATGTCAGGAGAACCAGATTATTTAACAGAAAGGCCTACGTACCTATTTTACCTAATAATTGTCTACTTTAATAGTTTTTCTATTTTTCATTCATAAATGTTTGCTACCTCAATCCAAGGATGTCATTATACTCAAGTACTGGCTTCAAAAAATGTCAAGTCGGAAAAAAAATATGTTGTCAATTTCAAATCTTCTAATCGATATCCTACAACTGTTTCGTTTTGTTTTTTTTTTCAACATTTTTTGCAAAATAACGATGCTTTCTAACTAGGAATAATTACTATATGATGTTATGCGTAGGCCATGAAGATAGCAATTTAAATCGTGCTCGCGAATTGTATCGGCAACGATTTATCGATGGTAGACCCTCCACTGAACAGCGACATGTCTGAACATGTCAAGACGAGTACATTCCACAGGCTCTTTTCATCGGTATACTGGAAGTCGACGTCCAAGCACAGACGATGCCAGGCAGGCTGAATTAGTGTTAGAGCATTTTGAAGAAGAGCCGACCACAAGTACGAGGCGAGCCGGAACAAGATTCGGTATAAACTATGTTGCAGTTTGGAGAATTCTGCGTGACGACAATCGTCGTACACAGGAGCTGATACCCTCCGATTTTGCACCCAGGAGAAACTTCTGCGAGTGCTAGGTACCTCAGGCAGTTAGAGGAAAACCCTAATTACGTAAACTATGTTCTTTGGACGGACGAGGCAACATTCACGAGGTCAGGACTTTCAAATATGCATAACAATCACGTTTGGGCTCGCGTGAATCCACATGCTTCACGTCAGGGCAGATTCCAACACCAGTGGCGGCTGAATGTGTGGGCTGGCCTTTACGACGGGCATGTCATCGGTCCCGTCATTATGCCATCACGTCTGAACGGTAGCAACTATCTAACGTTTTTACAAACGGATTTCGAAGAGGCGATTGACGACTTTCCTGTGGCTGACTGGGATTACTTTAAGGGCCAAAGAAACATGGTGTTTCAGCATGATGGAGCTCCGGCACATTTTGCTCGCAACGTACGAGAACATCTCAACGTTTGCTTTCCACGAGGATGAATCGGCCGCGGGGGAACAGTGCTATGGCCTGCTCGTTCTCCGGACCTCACACCCTTGGACTTCTTTTTGTGGGGTTATGTGAAGGAAAGTGTGTATTTCTCCGATTGCCCAATGGTTACCGAGATGGAAAAGCGTGTTAGATCGGTTTTCACATCAATTACACCGACGATGGTGCGAAATGCCACACAAGCCATATCCCGACGAGCGAGGTTGTGTATTGAGCAAGGCGGAGCACACTTTGAGCCGTTTCTGTAAATTTGACGTTTATTATGAAAAAGTAAGTGTTCGTTTAGGTTGTTTTGTTAGGTTAGGTCTTTTAAAATTTTTGTCGTTCCGCGAATTAGGTAGAAATGTAGGTACATCCTGCGTAGTTTACTCTTTAATTTTACTGAAATAGGGTTTGCACATGCACAGTGAAAATAATAATATTTTTTTACTTTTTTGGGGTATGTTATACAGCGTTACTACGGTTCTTAAATATTGTGAATGGATAAGGCCTCATTTAACCTTCTTTCGGCTTTAAGGGTAGTTTTGTAACACCCGGTAGAACAAGTGAGGCAACAACCTTTTATGTGATTCAAAAAATCCTATGTAACGGTCTTCTTCATCAAAGTCAGGCTCCAATGTTAAGTACAAGGATGACATAATTACCTTTTAAATATTTTACCCTGACAAAATGTGAAGTTCGCGATCATCACGGTAGTCGCGCAATTGTGCACGTTTAGTTTCGCGTGGTAGATGCTCCCGCTTCGCATTGCGTGACCCGCGCGTGACAATCTGGCCTTAGTTATGGGTATCAGTGGATAGCGGTCATCAATCAACATCATCATCATCGTTACAGCCCTTTAGAAGTCCACTGCCGAACGTAGGCCTCCCCCAAGGAATGCCACAAAGTACGGTCTAGAGCCACCTGCATCCATCAACATTCTGCATGTCTTACCAGGTCGTCACTGTATCTAGCGGGAGGCCCGCCCTACACTTAGGCTATCGGTACGAGGCTGCCACTCGAGAATCTTTTTACCCTATCGGTTGTCGGCTATGAAATATGTGGTTTCCGATTTGAGCGGTCGTCACTCAGTACGCAGCCAAGGGGGATTACTCTCGTCACTCAATTTCTACATTGTGATATACAAATACCAAATGCACGTAGCTAAATGTTGAAAACTATTTGAAAAATTGTTAAATAAAATACCATATACTTAGAAAACATGCCTAGATACATTGCTTATAGACTTTGATATATGGAAAGGCAGACATTCTTGATTTTAACAAAGGGCTACCCCTTGGGTATGAAATCCTAACAATAAACACGGTACAAAGACACATGACTGGAGATAAAATGGAACAATTCTGGCGCGTTTCTCACATTATTGTATCTATTACGTTTGAAGTGCCTATTTGAGTGAGAATACTGACTGATCTAAGGGATAATGATAAAAAGACGCCTATATTTAAAAAATAAATACAAAATATTATTTATAATAAAAAATAGACGACAGTAAGTCGATGTTAGTTTTTACCCTAAACGAAGTGCGTAAACTAAACTTTCTTTACTACAGATTTTAAAAATTATTTTAAACACATGTTATTTATAAGTTACTTCATTTGAATACGATATGTATTAAAATCAATCATACAAAAAAATTACTAAATATTGCATATTTTAAATTATTTATCATGTTATAACAGCATAGATTTTTAAATGCTGAGAAAAAATTCTGAGCTCCTTATATCAAGTAATTTAGAAATGTACTTCATTAATTTTGATAAATAATATGGGCATTAAAGTAATATTAAACTTATTTAAGGAAATGATAAATACAGCGGGACGGCATAAAATATTAAATATGTAGTTATAATAAATTTCATTGAAATTACCGGGTTCAATTCGTTTTCCTCTTCATCCCCTGGTTCTTTTTCTGAAATGTTTTCATTTTCTTCTTCTTCGTTCTCTAGTGTTTCATCTTTTTCCTCCAAGGTTTCAAATGTTACTTCTCTATCTGTAACAATATTCTATTTTTATTATAATTACTTGAAAATCTCAATTGCAAAAACTGTTTAGTTTATATTACATTCTAATTTCATAAAACATTTTATGTAATAAAATGTAATTACGAATGACAAGCGTAAAATCTATCTTCTGATATTGCATTCGAGATCAGAGCGGTGAACGTTGATGGGGCCACAAGTGAAGCTTTACGAAGTAACTTTTTTGATGTCAACATTGTTTTTTGGCAGCGGGCTACCGCTCTATTACCATAGCGTATGGAAGTATTTAATATGCCCGTGACGTTAAGTATACGAATCAGATGCTAATCTCTCTTAAAGGCAGTTTGTTTTTCTTATAAGTGATATTGGATAAACAACCGTATTATTCGATTGTTTCGTTCAATTTATTGCAATCAAACGGTAATTTAATTAAACGTGTTATTATAACACGACTTATCGGTACGGTGGACGGTGTCGATGTCAGTCGACTTTACGGTCAACTTTATAGAAGTATAAACGAGCACAAAGTCCACATGATGGTAATTGGATGCTATGGTCCATAGACACCTATATTTTTATCATTGATTAAGATTCAAAGTAAAAATGCGTTGTCGCCCCTGACGACAAAGGTTCTCCGGTACCATACACTCATAATATGAAGCACAGCAGAATTAAAAAAAGTTAAAAGTTAAAGTTACAGACTATATACGTCCCACTGCTGGGCACACGCCTCCTCACATTGCTGAGAGGGTTTTAGGGCAAGGAAGTGTCCGCCACGCGGCCATTTCCTTGCGTGTAATTTTTTGTCCGATCTACGCAGAATGAGCTTACAGTATCTTGAAGTCTTGGGTTTGGATTTAATTTTTTTAATTACAGGATCCCAAGCAGATGGCTGCACCCATCCATCTTCTCTATTGAAATTAGGATGTTTTTTTAATTTCAATAGTCTCGTGAATCATCCTTGGTAGCAATGTAATGGCGGGGACGATCTTGAACATGCTCACAAACTGCAGACTTCCTTGAACGTTGGTGCTGCAAGTCAGCTATATGTTCTTTTACGCGGGTTTTATGGATCTTTTTGTTTGTCCTATGTAAGAGAGGCTACATTCACAATATAGCTTGTACACTCCTGCATCTTGTAGAGGGATATAACACTTGACGGATGGTAAACTTTGACTAATCTTCTTTGGCGGCTTGAAGTATGTTTTAATGGACGCACGCTTCAAGATGTTAAAAAAATTAAATCCAACCCAAGCAAACCACTGCAAGATTTCAAAATACTGTAAGCTCATTCTCCGTAGATCGGACCAAAAAAATATTCAAAAACTGAATGGGCTAACTATGACATCGGGACGTCAAACTACTCAGTTCCACCCGTGACTATGGGTGCTGTAATGGCAGCCATACACGATCAAGTCTACCATTAAGTTTGCAGCGCGCTTGAAGCGGCGTCCGGTAAACTTGACGGTGTATGGCAATCGGTGTGCATGACAAGTCTACTTGAAGCAAAAATTGAATTTCGATTCTGCCGACTTGATCAAGCTTACAGCGTCATGCGTTTGTATGAGCTTGAACGTGTGTATGAGCGGTCAAGTATGGCTGTCATAAAGCACCTGAGACGTCGGGAATTTAAAAGTTAAATTAAACGCGCTAGAATCCGTAAAAATTAGTTTCATTTAATGTGAAGTCTCCGCGTAAATATAAGAAATCACAATTATATACAAACAAAATATGAAGGTAAATATATATAAAAAATCTCTTTGGTTGTACTGTGTGTATCTGGCTGGTTTTAATATTAAAACATGTGGGACATTAAGAAAAAGAAATGCCATCAAAAACATAACTTGTAAAAAAAAACCAAGTCTCGCAACTCAGTTCTTCTACCGTAAAAGTTGTGAGATCCATGTAATAGTAACGGGGAAAGTGTTTTTTATTGACATGACAACGTCTTATAATTCGATGAAGCTGGGCTGCACGCACGAAAAAACATGACTCATGCGACGTTACCTCGCTCTGAGGCGTTCCATTTGCATTTGCTATAAATCCATTTAAGGCTTGCACTGCAAGTACCTAGATATAACTATCTACAAAAAGAAATGACATGCCATCAAAAACATAACTTATAAAAAAAGCCAAGCCAAGTCTCTCGAGATCCATGTAATACCAAGTCGGTTAATTTATTCAGTCCCTACTTAAGGGTCCTTCTGTCTTAAGTTATTACGTAATTACGTAATAACTTACGACAGCTAATTAGCTATCCTAACAACAGCTTATAGTGGCCACATTAATAATAAAAATCTTTTATATTTTAAATAAATAGATTGACTTGGCTATCGTATGAAAACACAATGTATCTGTCAAGTAATACATATATATTAAATTAGATTGTTTAGTATGATTGCCAAAACAATTTATTTCAAACTAAAAAAAATTGATATTGATATGTTTACTATAAGATTTTGTTAGGTTAGCTAATTACGTAATAATTTAAGACATGAGGACCCTTAAGTAGGGACCGAATAAATTAACCGACTTGGTATTACATGGATCTCGAGAGACTTGGCTTGGCTTTTTTTATAAGTTATGTTTTTGATGGCATGTCATTTCTTTTTGTAGATAGTTATATCTAGGTACTTGCAGTGCAAGCCTTAAATGGATTTATAGCAAATGCAAATGGAACGCCTCAGAGCGAGGTAACGTCGCATGAGTCATGTTTTTTCGTGCGTGCAGCCCAGCTTCATCGAATTATAAGACGTTGTCATGTCAATAAAAAACACTTTCCCCGTTACTGTTTCTTTGTCCGCCAAAATGAGTGAGTCTAAGGAAGAAATTTGATACATTCTGAAGTTTTATTACAAAAAAGAGGAAAATAAGACTCAAGCCGCGAAAAAAAATTGTCACGTTTATTGATCTAGTGTAGTGTCAGTAACAGTAGCGCAAAGTTGGTTCAAGCCTTTCCAGTCCAGGAATTTTGACGTCAAAGATGCAGCTCGCTTTGCTCGCTCTGATACGGATAAAGCCTTACTGAAAAAATAGAACAAGATCGGCTTATTACTATTTACGATATAGCCGAGGAATTGAGGATTGACCACAAAACAGTTTTGACCCATTTGAAAAAGTCTGGCTATACAAAAAAAGCTTGATATTTGGGTACGACACGAGCTCACTGAAAGAAACCTAATGAATCGTGTACTCATTTGCGATTCTCTATTGAAACGTAATGAAACCGAAAAGATCGAAAAGATTGATCATTGTTCATTTTCAGAGGGTAGTCAAGCTCTAAATAAGGCGATGGTGTGTGTATGGTGGGATTGGAAGGTCATCGTTAATTATGAGCTTTTACCGCTGTGCAAAACCATCAATTTAGATTTCTAATGAGACTCAAGCAAGAAATTGAGAAAAAAACAGCCGAAACATCGACAGAAAAGGAGTGGTCTTTTATCATGATAATGCCAGACCACACACATCTCTGGCCACTCAGCAAAAATTAAGAGCGCTTGGTTGGGAAGTATTAATGCGTCCACTATATAGTCTTGACCTTGCGCCCTCAGATTTTCACCTGTTTCGGACTCTTCAGAATTATTTGGGTATTGTTAGGTTAACATCAAGAGAGGACTGTCAAAACTACTAGTCGGTTTTTTTAATCAAAAACCCAAGATGTTAACAGCAACGGGATTATGTAATTACCTACAAGATTGCAACAAGTTATTGAACAAAATGGCACATATATATTGTATATAAATGTAATTAAAATTAAAAAATGCCTTGAATTTGTATATAAAATACGAACAAACTTTATTCCCGATCCTTTAATATAGTCGCAACGTACAACCTTACAATTTAGCGCATAGCAGATCTGTCAAGTAGTAGTGGGGATAATTTTTATAATGATTTTACGATAACAGCAGTTTTAAGTAATAAAACTATTTTCGTATATCAGGTAGTTCAAAAATAGAACACTCAACAATAGCTCATCGCGTACGTCCGTGCAGTCCCGCGTTCGTTATCATCAAGAACGGCTTCGTAATAATATGTGCATATGCGGCCTTACCCGATCAATGTCAATTTATAAAATGCTTAAAGTTGCTCACTATCTTTTCACTAAATGATATTAGATAAGGACAGATATCGAGACAAACTTGATGTTAATTTAAGTAAGCGATAATCAACGGTATTATGCAGGACCTGTCTCACTCTCACCGCGTCACTCTTACGAGTACTCATGCTAGTGCAATCTTTGAGAATGTGGCTTTTTATTTGAGTAAACCGTACAGAATATCAAAATAAATAGCATAAAATTTTCAATCACCTCTAAATCTTAAAGATCCTTTTCTGGGTACTGGTTTTTCTTCCATTGTCTCCACTTTTACGGCGGGAATCATGTCTAACGTCACCCCGTTTGATTTCAAATTTGATTGTTTGTTTGGATCTTCGTTAGTAAGCTGAAATCATTTTGCATTTATTATAAGAATGCAATTTAAATTACTTCAACAACTTTATGAGTATGTAGTCAAACCTCTTGCAAGAAAGAGACACTAGGCTCTTGTAGTTTGATGGCTTTCTCTTTACTCCTCATTATGTTTTCATCTGTTTCTTTTTCCAAACGCAATTTATGAGCTTTATGTGTACGCCACATCTGTAAAATTTATTATTTTAAATAGGTGTAATATAATAGAATGGAAAATAATTATTTTATCCAATTTAAAGAATATAATATATTGATATTTAATAGTCATTTATACTTTTCCAATTGGTATGAAAAAAGCCTCTGTATTGGGAAAAATCAACAAGAATCCCATCCCATTTTAAAATGTCAATTTACAATTTAGTATGCTGTACAATTAAATATCATTTAGAAACAGCATGGTCAATCATGTATTCCTTAATAGTATGTCTAACAAGTGGTATGCGGGAAGTAAAGACTGCGTAAGAACCTCCAAAGGAGGTGGAGTTATAGAAGAAATAACAATTTTCAATTATTTTTTATTTATATATTTACATTATCTATTGAAAGAATAAACTACTTTGAAGTCAAGCAACTGGTTTTATTAGCATGTGCTGTTTCTAATAGTTACTTACAAAATGTACATCACTATTTTTATTTTTGTTTACATTCATACAATTTGACGTAAATATATTGTGGTTAATATATTTATTTCATTAAATTTTTTTCTAATATACTCCTTTGGACTAAGTAAGTAAGAACGAGGTAATAAATTGCTAATAAAGCTGTCAGTCGCATTACCCTATATTCTAAGATTCCATACAACATATTGCATAACAATGGAAATAATTAAATACTAGATATACTTATTAATTAAATATGCATTTGTGTTTAAATGTTTATTGAAATATTGCATGCCGTAAGCTAAAGCGCAAGGTATGTTCTACTATCACCTAAAAATTAAGATTCCAACGTTTTATCGAATAAAATCGTATCTAGCAATCATATTATACATATAAATGATATAAAAAGCTCATTGTTAGAAAGATAAATGATTGTTGAACTTATTAATTTTTTTTTAATCGATTATTTGCTATTTTTAAATAAAAAACGGCTTTTAGTGGCTTATGGTGTGAATCTATTATGTCCCCAAGGCTTGTAAACACGATAACTCTTGAAAATATCAATTGTTTAACTCAATCTATTTTTTAATCTCTTCATCTATCATGTGGGAAGCCACTCAATGTAAATGGCAGTGTAATTTTGTTTTGTTTAGCTATAATTAATTTTTTTCGGCTCCAAAATGGCGAAATTTTCGTTGATTTGGTAGCCTTGTACGTAAATTATTTCTGTGAATGGGGAGCTACAGCCACAGAGTAGTTTACTCACTCACTCAGTTCGGCGTCAATCGCCGTCGTGAGTGTACATTGTTTCGGTTGTTTGCAGCGGCTCAAAAAGATCGCTGTATAAATACACAATATTCGAATAACCAAATTTCTTAAATACTTGATTATAATAATAATAAGAGATTTTTTTTATTACAATATTTTAAAAGCACAGAATTAATAATAGAAGTACGTACTAAAAGTAAGTAGTATCAATTTTTTTGTCATGGGTAACATTTTCATGGTTTTCGAGGGTGTTGAAACCGATAGGGTTGTCGAAATGTAAATCCGAGGTGGCGGCTGCAATAGGTATAAATTTTTTCATCATGGGTGTCATTTTCATGGTTTTCGAGGGTATTGAAGCCGATAGTGCTGTCGAAATGTAAATCCAAGGTGGCGGCTGAAGTAGGTACCAAATTTTCATCTAGGGTGTCATTTTCATGGTTTTCGAGGGTGTTGAAACCGATAGTGCTGTCGAAATGTAAGTCCAAGATGGCGGCTGCAATAGGTATCAATTTTTTCATCATGGGTGTCTTTCTCATGGATTTCGCGGGTGTTGAAGCCGATAGTGCTGTCGAAATGTAAATCCAAGTTGGCGGCTGCAATAGGTATCAATTTAAAAAAGCTTTTACAAAAATTTACTTCGCAAATATCCGCGTTATATATCAATTTTTTCATCATGGGTGTCATTTTCATGGTTTTTGAGAGAGTCGAAGCCGATAGGGTTGTTGCAAAGTAATTCCAAGATGGCGGCTGCAATAGATATCAATTCTTTCATCATGGGTGTCATTCTCATGGTTTTCGGGGGTGTTGAAGCCGATAGTGCTGTCCAAATGTAAATCCAAGGTGGCGGCTGCAATAGGTATCAATTTTTTCATCATGGGTGTCATTTTCATGGTTTTCGAGAGAGTTGAAGCCGATAGGGTTTTCGAAATGTAAATCCAAGATGGCGGCTGCAATAGATATAAATTTTTCATCATGGTTGTCATTCCCATGGTTTTCGCGGGTGTTGAAGCCGATAGTGCTGTCGAAATGTAAACCCAAGATGGCGGCTGAAGTAAGTACCAATTTTTTCATCATGGGTGTCATTTCATGGTTTTCGAGGGTGTTGAAGCCGATAGTGCTGTCGAAATGAATTTAAACTACTTTAAAAAATTCCGTATAATCATGTTATACGTAATTTTTTTTAATGCGCTTAAGGCATGCCCAATTGGATTTACCAATATTTTTTTATTTTATTAAACTTAATGTAATTTCCTCGAACTATTTTTAACATAGGATTTTTTCCTTAAAATAATACATACGTGAGAACCGCAGTAGCAAAGCCCAATCAGGAATATAACTATTAAAGTAATAAAGATTTTGTCCGTATTTTCTTCTTCGGCGTCAGGCTGTTGGTGTAGAGAGTCGTAAGGGATTCTAGCCGGCGGATCTTCAACCCAAGCCTTATCAACGCTCTGGTAAAAGAAAGAACATCAATATAATCGGGAGTTATGTCAAGAATACAAAAAGAAGTAGATTTTTTTTATAGGATGGGGTGACAAACGAGCACACAGTCCACCTGATGGTAAGTGGTTGCTGTGGCCCATAGACATCTACATTTATCCTCGTTTGTGAATCAAAATGCAGATGCGTTGTCACCCGTGAGGTCTAAGATGGAATGCCTCTTTTCCAGTAAAAAGGGTTGCCGGTTCTCTACACTCACCATACGAAACACAGCAGTGTTATGCTGCTATTTTACGCTAGTATTCTGTGAGAGCGTGGTCCTTCCCCGGTCGAGCCGACCCATTCGTGCCGAGATCTCCATAATGTTAATTTCAGCACGTCAGACATATTCAATAACATCCTACAAGAGAAATCTAAGCAGCGAGGAGCTGTTGTGATTGCCAAATGTGATAATTTTACCAAATCCTTCCTGACGAGAGACTTGTCTCTAGCAGTGGATTGTCGATAGATAGAAAACTCTTAGTTGCACATGAAAAAAAATTGTGCAGGGGTGAGGCTGCTGAACATGGGTGTTTTTTTATTGGGAGGGTTTGCCTTAATCGCTTGGCAGGGCGGTTAGATCAAAGTATCAAATATCTCAAAGTTCTAAACATTTTACGTCTGACTTAAACGAGATGATGACACTGCCATCTATCGGAAGAAATCAAGATCTTTCTGGGCTCGTGCATAGTTGCCTCTTAGCCATGGGATGAAATGGAGTGATGGATTTTTTTACGCCGTCACCACTAAGTGATGTCTCCTCTTACCGTGCAAATCCGGATAAATCAGTGAGCGAACTGCTTGGTCACTAAATAAGCCCTACTGCCTATTTGTGATCAATTTTTCTGTGATCGATGGCGCAACTTCAAGCTATTGGATTATATGTGGACGTGGTTATGCAAAAAGGATCCAACCCAAGTTTGTGTCAAAAATGTTGACTTAAGAATAATGTTTGTGGTCTATACTATTATGTGATGTAATAATTTTAGCAAACGTAACACAAATAAGAAGAAAAATTACAAACAAATAGAAACCATTCCGATAATTTCAGTTTATGATATTTGAAGTATGGATACTTCAAATATCATAAAATCAAATTAACTTATCGCGGGTTGGATCCTTTTTGCATAACTACGTCCATGTTATAATACTGAAAATGGCATCTATTTTATTTTATAACTAGGAACACGCCTGTTATTCTGAAATCTAAGTAATCAAACAATTTTTCGTTTTGTCTATTCGTGAAGATTTATTACAATCGGTTCAGCCAGTTTGAAGTTTAACCCGGACAGATGGACAGACGAATAGATGGACAGACAGGCAGTCAGACAGACCGACAAAATTTAAAAAAATGTTATTCATGTAATAATGACATCCAAATAACCCCCTCAGTTAATATAAGGCATTTATTTTGATATTATACACAGTACTATAGACAGACATTTCAATTTTGATTATATGATATAGGTAAATAATTACACTATATTTCAAAGTGATTACAATCATTATATTAACAGTATCATTATCATTACATCCCATCATTCCTCTGTGGAAATTAACACTGTTGCCTTTATGTTTTATACTGTTGGACATATCTACGACTTTCTGCATGTTTTATCAGGTCACCACTCCTTCTAGTGGATGTTTGCCCAACTCTATAATCGTCAGGACAAGATTATCTTCCTTATAGATTGTCAGTTACTCGGGCTATATGGACCGACCATATTATATACTGACACATTGCGATTTCAGCCTACTGATCCATTAACAGTATACAAAAGTCTATTTACAGTGTTTTGAAGTCCACTGCTGGAGAATCCGCCAGCTGTCATGTTACCCCATTCTCACTAAACTTGGCGAGTTGAGGAGCGCGCTTACACTCACTATCAATTTTATTTAAACACCTATTAAACTAATGTTAAACTTTCTACAGTGTCGCGACACTGCTTCTTGTGTGTGCTACTTTCATTTTATCCACATCCGCTCGTGGGAACACATTGTACTGTGGCTCAACGTCACTTATCACACGTAAAATCCCAAGCGGAGTACTCACGATAAGGAAGCTGCCGTTGTGCGTGGCGAGCTGGTCGTGCTCGGGCCACGCGTCGTCGAATTCGGCGGAACACTGAGCGCTACGCACACCGCGCGCGTTAACAGCGTTCACCTTCTCGGCGTCCGACCTCGTGAATAACATGTACTCCTCCAGCGGTTTCATCTCGTAGTCGTTCAGTTCCACGAATATGTCTGTTGATCGTCAACGGTTAACAACGGTCAATTGTGTTGTGGCAGTGTACGAATATCAACCACCCAAAACGTCCCGTGCGTGTAGCAAAAGGCGGCAAAGGGAAATAAAACAGGAGATGGGGAGCAGCATCTTCCTGATAATATCTAAAAACAGTGCCTGCGAACCTGCTTGCTAATCGTGGCAACGATGGCAAAATCCATATGAAACAATCTAAGGGGGCGGCCTATGTTCAGCAGTCAACTTTTTTAGACTGTAATGGATGGATGAGGTATAGAAAACGTCCTATTGACAACTCCATCTTACTGATGCTGTCAATTGCACAGGAAATTTAAAAATGCCTAACAACTCAACCGTACACGGTGACTGTAGTCCCCAAAAAAAGTCTTACCTTATCTGTCCATGGTGACTATAGTCACCAAACGACATCGTTCCATTTAAACGTGTATGCACAGACACAGTGACTTTCATTCTAACGCGTATTATGTGATACACCGAGATTTTTTTTAAATTATTGAAGTGACAAACTAACTTAATCTCTTTTTAATAGTAAGTGACTGATATAACCCATGATCTACTGCAACCAATTTTAGCCAAAAATACCTACAGATGCGTTGTTACTTAATAGGACTAAGACTGCACTGGATGGCCTCACATCTTGTTATTATACTGTGGCTTTCTATACACTAGGCGGTGTAAAATAACCCAGTATTCCATATCATTCCATAGGTATGGTAAGAGACAACTAAATAGGAGATGGGCAGCAGTATTTTGCTAAAAAAGTTAAAGTTACAGCCTATATATTGCTGGTATTTACGTGGTAGAGCCAAGCTGCAGCTATATTAATAGTATAGTTGTAGCACGAATGGGTCGGCTCGACTGTGGAAGGATCACGCTCTCACAGAATACCAGCGTAAATTAGCAGCTTAATGCTGCTGTGTTTCGTATGGTGAGCGTAGAGAACCGGAGACCTTTTTTACTGGAATTGAGGCATTTCATCTTAGTCCTCAAGGCTGACAACGCATCTGCATTTTCATTCTCAAACGAAATATATATATATATATATATATATATATATGTTCCACTGCTGGACACAGGCCTCATCTCATTTCTGAAAGGGTTTTTAGGGCAAGGAAATGTCCGCCAGGCTGCCCCAATGCGTGTTGGCGAACTTCACATGTCTTCTAAATTATTTTTCTTATTTCTCAGACATGCAGGTTTCCTCACGATGTTTTCCTTCACCGCCGAGCACGTGGTAAATCGGCACTTAAAATTGCAACTAACAATTTCATTGGTGCCAACGGGTATCGAACCCGGGTTGCTCGCGTACTGTGAAACACACAGCGAGCGCTAACCATCTGAACTACCATGGCTCTAAATATTTATATATCAAATACGCCAATACTTATTTTTGTAAGATGTTTAGAAATCAACTGATAACATCTGTTCATGAATTGTAATGGATTTTTGCAAGTCTCGTAAATATTCTTTAATTTTAGTCGTACTACCCATTAAACCGATCAAGGGTAAAAACCAAATCCAGCTAATTTTTTTAAGGCACGTGTCTCTCAATCTTACGATTTTTTATACTTTAATGTTTTTATACTTTAATTTCAAACTGTTTATTGTATAAGGAATAATTATAATTACAACATTAAATCGTATTTTAATTTTTGCTCGTTACAAAACACCAAATACTAGCTAGCTGCTGCATGACATTTCTTTGTTGATGACTGGATGTCGATAACTGGTAACTGTCGGTCACTAGGTATGGACAACTGGGTCCTAGGTGTCCATAACTGGTATAACTGATTATAGTTTTTTTTAAATATTATTCCCAATTTCTAAGAATTTACTAACGATACTTATAATTTAAGTTAAGCAACATCTACTTTCTGTTGTTTGGAAGTGAAGAAGAAGAGAGCCAGTAATTATAGGCCGCGAGGAATTCCAGCTTACCTTTCAGGCGTGTCGTAATGGTTAATAGAGGGATATGCTATTTTACTATTCGGTTTATTTTACCATTTTGGGCCTACCTGAGGTGACAGTTTATCGGTTAATTTACTTGTTTTTGAAGATTTCTTTTAGTTCCAGTGTCTGAGTTTTATCAGGAGTGCAGGCTCTTTACTAACACTAATACTATAAAACTATTAGCCTTTAAATATTTAAGAGGTATATCTGGTACGTCCATCGCTACGTTTTGGAAGATAAACTTGAAAGTGGTTTTATTATTTGTCTAATAGAGGACCCACTGAGACTGCCAATGATTCAATTAGCAATCGAGTATTGATTTAGCAGAGTTCGAATTAAATTATTGTGCAAGTATAAAACAGACTTTAGAACTGCGTTTTATGATTTAACTTGAATTAATAAATTTTAAAAGTCAAGTTACTTACTGGAAAGGCATCCGTTATATCCCTTGTAAATCATGAGTCGGGGGTCTGTGGTGTTCAAACCTCCTATTTGCACTTCATTAGAGCCAACATCAAAAACTTCCCACAGGCCTTGAGGCGGAAGTTTCTCTAGGGGTACTTCTATTCTATCTATTAAAAGTTTAGCTTCTTGACCTACTCTCGTGTAATATACTGTGTGCCGAGCGCCTGCAAGTATTTTTCGTATAAATTATAAATAGAGTTAAACAGGCTGTTTTATATAAAACTTTAAAAAATAGAATACTACACGAATACTAGAATTACAACACGAAGCCGCATGAAATTTCATGAATGTCATTACACTAAATTATTCATATTACCAAAAAAGTAATTAGAGCTCCTTTTATAATTGGAAGAAGATTTCATTATGGCTAAATATCGCAAAAGTATGTTTTATGACGTCGTTTGAATTTTTCGGAACGAATTTCTGGAACAAAGTTCCTATAGAATTATTACCCAGTAACGTAATAAACGTAAAGTTCCTTATCGGACAGTACGAATTTGGCGGATGGGGGCTAGGCGAGAAAAAGTGTAAGATGTTCCCGTCACGACTCCTCTTGACGTAGTGTAGAATAGAAGGCCTTGTCGGCTATGAGGAAGCGAGATGGACTAATATCCATCTCCCTCACACTTTTTCTTAACTTGCCATGAAAGAAATATTATATTATTTTAAATGACGCTTCATTTTAATAGACCCTAGTAATACATTTATTTGTATATGTTAATCAATAATATCATATGTTTATCAATAATAATATACTGCGAAAGGAACTTCGTTCCAACCGAGTGTTCCACGACACTCACGCATGTTTTTTTATAGTACTTTTTTGTCACGAGCACGTACTTTATACTGTACGAACATATAATAAATATATACATACATAATATATTTGCGGTGAATATACTTTCATTCATAAACTACAGCCTATCAAAAGTCCACTGCTAAACATAGGCCTCTGGCGTAGATTTTCTCATAGACGGGCTTTTGCCATAGTTGCAGCGCTTGAAAAGCAGGCTGGTAACAGCAGTTTCTTATAATTCTAACGGTGGTAGAGCCACGCGGCAGCTTTTGCTGTCGCACGGATGGGCCGGCTCGAACCGGGGTGGTACCACGACCTTACAGAAAACCAGCGTGAAGTAGAGGTTTACCTCTGCGTTTCGCTTGGTGAGTGCAGGTGGCCGGAGGCCCTTTTTACTGGAAATGAGGCCTTCCATTCTAGTCCTCACGGGTGAAAACGTATCTGTATTTTGATTTGTAATAGAGGATAGATGTAGATGTCTATGGGCCGCAGCAACCACTTACCATCAGGTGGACTGTGTGCTCGTTTGTCACCCTTATCCTATAAAAAAAATCAGTTATAGGGAAGATAAGGCTGTCCATCTCTCGCTTTAGTTTCCCTCTTTCGCCTCTTACTACACCCGCGGGAGCGTACAGGGTAGTGGATATTCTTACCTACATACTATTACCAGTGGAAGGGTCATGACTATGAGCTCACTAACTCTATGGCAAAATCGTCTTTACAACTATCGCAATCTATGAGAAATGCCTATGTTCAGAAGTGGACTTTTATAGGCTGTAATGGATAGTCTAAATTGGCCAGCGTCTGCCTTTTGACCTGATTACAATCTGAACGCCTTCAAGGCAAGAGTAAATAGGCTTTTACTACGCTAAGACAGTGTGATTCACCATCTTTTGCTTCATTACCGCTTACCACCAGGTGGAATTACAGTCGAGCACTGGCTTATATTCAATTATATAAAAAATAATATTTGTTTTTTCGTATTTTATGCGCAGATTCACCATTGCGCAATAACTTTGTCAACTTATTGCTTGCAGTTGCGCGAGGTTATAGGCATAGTAAAATTAACTTACAGTAGGTGGCACGCGAATTGTACTGGCAAATCTATTTGATAGTTATAATAAATTATTCAATTTCAATGAATGTTTAAAATTTAAAATGATATATGTTGCACATTTTTTTTTCGGTAGCTACGCGCCAGCTACTATCTAGTAAAAGTGAAGTATATACGTCCCACTGCTGGGCACAGGCCTCCTCTCATTTCTGATAGGGTTTTAGGAGAAGGAAATGTTCGCCGCGCGGCTCCAATGCGTGTTGGCGAACTTCACATGTCTTCGAGATAATTTTTTTCTTATATTTCAGACATGCAGGTTTCCTCACGATGTTTTCCTTCACCGCCGAGCGTAAACCAGCACCACGTGGTAAATCAGCACTTAAAATTGCAATTAAAAATTTCATTGGTGCCGGCTGCCGGCGGGGATAGAATCCGGGTTACTCGCGTAATGTGAAACTTACAGCGAGCGCTATCCATCTGACCTACCACGGCTACCAGCTAGTAATAAATAAAAATAAATATTGTTTTTGTACAGTATTTTACTTTATTATTATTTTTAGTTTTAGTGTCGTGGTATATTCAGGTAGTAAATATAAAAAATAAAATATATAAAATGATACAAATAGTGTCCTTATAAGTTGTAACTAAAAATAATATTTACATTTTGGTTTTAAATTTCTACATTACGAAAAACTTATGAAAAAGAAAATATATTATACACTCTGCATATCATGTACACTAAAATCTAAAAAACGTAATTAGCCTATAATAACATAAAAATTTATATGTATTTACCATTAAGAAAGTTTCTGTTCTTAACTTCTGCACCATATGCGGATTCCTCTCTGTCTTCTTCGAATTTAAGATATCCATCTTGCGTTATTGCTACTAGTAGATAATAGCTGCGCCTTTAATAAAATTATTTAACGGTTATGCACAAAAATATATGATAAATAATATTTAAAAAAAATACAGCTAACTGTACATACTTGTTTTCTGTTTGTACCAACAAAAGAACAGTATTTTTTTGTCTTAGGTCGTTACTAGAAAATGCCAATTTTATTTTTACCTGTAATTGAAATATTTGTGTTAGAATAGTTCTTAATAATATGTTAATATTACATATATAACTTAAACTAATCTATCAGCGGTTTTCAACCCTTTTGACTGAAGGCCCTAAATACCGCGCTGAAATATAATCTCGCGATCCTGTAGATAACAAATTAAATGAAGTACTTAACACTACTGTCAATGAAGATATTATCATAAATAGGCACCGAACTTTACTGCTGATATAGTAAGTGGGGATTTACAAACGTTCTGTGAAAATAAATAGATTTTTTTAAATTTATTTATTCAAAGAAACTTACAGCTCTTATATCACATTTGAATACCTATGTAAGATAAATGTTAACAATAAATTAGCCAGAACAGTAACTAGTACTACTAGTTACTTTTTATATAACAATAGCTCACCAGGCAGACGTTGTTCTGCCCTTTCCAACGACCCTTCCTATAAAAATCTTTAAATTCGCAATAAAAAATTTTGAGGGTCATTTATCGGGATAAAAACTATCCTATCTCTCAAGTTGGACCAAAATGTACACAGTGTGCAAAATTTCATTTAAATCAGTTCAGTAGTTTAGGAGTCCATCGCGGACAAACAACGGGACACGTAATTTTTATATATAAAGATGAGAACTTCGCGCGACCCAAATGTATATTTGTTCACGACTCAAAGTTGAAAACCGCTGCCACACATTCGTATTTCCTACTCACTTTTAATACGGGACCTAAAAGAACAAATTTTCTTTGCAAAATGCTTTCGCCGTTAAAGTCTGCACCTTTTTCCTCCATACAGTATTCTCCAAAGTAACTCGTAAGTTCACAATCACAGCTGCTTTCCTGATTCGTGAAATCTTCGGTACAAACTCCGCCATTCTTACAAGGCTCCGAGTCGCATTTCATGTTGCATTCTGGTAGAACCCCGGTTAGATCTAAACACACAACGCATTGTTAGAAAAGTCCTTGAATTTAAGTTAGGTTACGTAAATAAAACAGATAAAAAACAATCTGTAGTTTACTGTAACTAACTTTACCCCTCTGTTGTAGGATAGATCTTGGCACGACCTAGGCCAAAAGTTTAAACAATAGGCTTTGTTTAAAGGCATAGTGTGTAGTTTATGTTGGTATTTAGTATAAACTTCTAATTCAGTTTAGAAATCGTAAAAAAAGTTTTTATAAATATTATCTTTTATTCAAGCAAGGGTGACAAACTTACACACTGCTAACTTAGTGGATTACTGGATGATGAGGTTCATATTCAGCTAGATTTATCTCAATATAGAAAAAAGGATAAAGACTCAGAGAACTTTTTATAGATGGGGGGACAAATGAGTACACAGTCTACCTGATGGTAAGTGGATGCTGTGGCGCACAGATATCTACATTTATGTTCAAACAAGAATCAAAATCTGTATTATGTGTACATGCGTTGTCACCTGTGAGGACTTAGATGGAATGCCTCATTTTCAGTAAAAAGTGTCTCCGGTTCTCTACACTCACCATACGATATACAGTAGCATTAAGCTACTATTTTACGCTGGTAGTCTTTGAGAGCGTGGTCCTATACCGGTCGAGCCGAACCATTCGTGGTGCAACCATAATATAGCTGCAGCATGACTCTACCACGTAAAACTAAGACTAATATAGAATACCTCGTAACTGACCTAATATTAGCAGAAAATAACCTCAGATTCTCATTATCTTTTATCACACATACAGTATACTACACATACAGCATTATGCTGGTTTTATACGTTGGTCCTTCTGGAATCGTGCTGACTAAAGAGGAAAGAGAATTAGTTTTTTACACGCTAAGCCAATGCGATTTACCATCTCTGGTTTCATTCCCACTTACCATCAGGTGGGATTGTAATTTGTAGTACTGGCTTATAATATTTAATTGGCTTAATTGACTGCCTCGTTTTTCTAGTGGTCGTAAAATCGATTACTGATATGAGGTCTCGGGTCAGGTCAAAAACAACTATGGAATTTTTTGTCAAAAATTTTCAGTAAAAACCCGGAGTAACGAAGTTGGCGGTGTTTCATACCCGTGGCTCGGAAAGAACGTAAAGCTCTTGACTCTGCACCAGATCTCTCATCTCCCTCCGGTCGTGTCGAATAGCCTGTCACGCACAGATTAGTCACGGTTGAGTTAAAAAAAAAACTTTACCTTGATCAGTATTCTGCAAGGCTTTTCTCGATAAGTCTACAACATGATCGGCTATCTTGAATCCTCTGACACAGCCCACGTATCCTCCTTGCGGTAACTGATTTGCTCTTGCGGCCAAGTGCAAGGAATATGGATCATAGCCGCCAAGGTTCATTTGGAAGTAGTCTGTAGGTGGTGCAGGTGGTCTTTGTGGGCGTATTACTTCTGAAAGTGTTTACCGAAAATTATAGACAAAAGAGCGATTTTTATTTTGAAATTCTTACATATCATGGACCTTAGAAATATAACATTGAAAGATATTCTACTGATTACCTTAACATTAATGCAATTTAAAAAAGCCCAAAAATTTAAAGACGTATGGTTTCTATCAAATCTATATTTATGAATAGAATTGAAGTGTCTCTCTATAAAATAGAAATAACTATAAAAATTATATAGCTGAGATGCCATTAAGACATAAATAAGAATTATTTAAATTTTTGTCTGTCTGTCTGGACTACTCTTCGGAATGGCTGAACCGATTGTAATGAAGGGTTATTTTTTGGCGGGAACTTCACCGGCGGTGGTTTGCTGCTCCTGTATTATTGTTTAAATAATGGTTTGAAGTGAACTTTGATATGTAAAAGTGGTGCGATTTTGTGTATTAAGTGTCTGCGCATGTGAACTATTAGTGGAAACTGTGAAACAAGTGCTCTAATGGTGATGTGATTCTCAAAATAAGGTGTCTGTCTGCTTAGGCGCATTGAGATACCATCGCCAACCGTCAGCTGTCTGCTGGCTCAAGTTGCCGTCAAAATCTCCCAAGGGCTGCACAATGTGACGCATCAACATATTGTGAAGCAGTATACTATGAAGGATAATTATTATAATATATTGTAACTTTAGGCTCAGAAGGGCTAGATCCCAGAGCCGTAAAGCCAGTTATTAAGAAAAAAGAAAAAGATTGTAATGAAACTTCATAAACAGATATAGAGTAATGTCAGGTGTGATCTAGGCTATCTTTTATATGAAAAATTTGGAGATAAAAAAAGAAAACTTGATAAAATAAATCTTCGATTATGTTAAATTTAAATAACGCCATTTTTAATATTTTAAATTTAATATATCTTATCCAGGCGAAACCAGGGCGAGTCGCTAGTAATGAAATAAAGTCTAATATTGTTCTGAATTGAATGTAGAAGAGAATTAAGTATTCATTTGTCAAAACTTGTCTATACTTGTTTTATTCGGTGTAAATAAGGTATTTTCAACATCCACCTTTATCAACCTGAAAATCTATTGTCGTTGACAGTGTAATCTCTTCAATTATCTTGCTAATTGTAAAACTAAGTATAATTTCCACGGCACGAATTTAGGTGAGACAATAAACGTAAACTACGAACTCGAGTTTAAGTTCGCAATTTCTATTTACACAACTAGTACAATTACATTAGAGATAAGCTAAAATTTCAGACGTTCCTGGAACGAAACTTACCTAATTCTGGGTTAATCCAAGGCTTATTGGTATAGTTGGATAGAAGTTTCGCTACTTTACCAATTGTACTGTTCTTATCGTTCACGTGCAAAGTTGTTGTGTTTTCTGTTCTGATGATTGCGATCTGAACACTTTCGCCTTTATTAATTTTGTCATAAGTGACATTCATTTGAACTATTTCCTCTTCATTATTAAAAAGATAGATTATTTGTGTACCATTATGTATAAATAGGTGAATAAAATTATTGAGATTGTCATTGGCGTATAATACTAAAGCGTTATCGTCATACGTTCGCAGATTCATGAGAACATTCTCAACCATCATTTTCTTCAGTCTGTGTTTCTCTGCATCGGTTTCGTTATCTACTAAATAATTCTTCTTCAAATACGCTTCTTTTGTTTGAAACGTCAGTGCCTTTTCGTTTATATCTGTGGAACGTGTTTTAAACATTACCACGGTGCATGCGAAACATCAATTATGGTTAAAATCCGACGCCATGTTATGCAGATGATAATTGCTACTGTGCATACAATTTACTTCCTAAAATATATGAGCTTTTACGTAATGTAATTGCTATTGCTAATTTATAAAAGCGTTGAAATTTATTATCGTAATATATCTTATTACAGTGAGTTTGAGGATAGATATTAATGCTAATTATTTATATTATAGGAATTTGTAGGTATTTGAAAATCTGTTAGTTTCAAATTAAGAAGATCTGAAATAATAATGTAAGTTTCTCTATTTTATGCAGTACAATTTCATCGTTATAAGATTATGTTTTTATTGCGTATGATCTTTTGCTGCGTTCATTAGTGATAGTGTAACTTCTTAACGTCTTGACCGGTCACAATCACACAAATTAAAACAAAAAAAAATATTTGTTTTGTCGAGACGACAGTTCATAGTTATACTAGGACCCGATAGGTGGCGCTGTAATAAAGTTGCTCAACTGTGTTAAATGCTCTTCATTTTCAGATTCATATTAACACTTTTATGTGTTGATTTGATACCAAAAAATAAACCGTAAAATCTGGATCCGATAGGTTATTATTAAATTCATTAAATTTTATATTTACAATGTAATAAGTCTGGAGAGACTTCGTAATGAAACTCATCGCGCCACCCACCAGAAAGGGCAGAACAACATCTGTCGAGCCAACTAGTAATCCACTGCTAATCATAGGCCTCCCCCATAGATTGCTTCATAGGGGATATTTGCTCTAGTTGCCAGGCTTGGCAAGCGGGTTGGCAACCACAGTGTTTATTATTAGCCGTTATTAGGAAGACGCTGCTGCCCATCTCCTGATTTGTTTCCCTTTGTCGCCTCTAACGATGCCCACGGAATGATATGGGGTAATGGATATTCTTACACCGCCACTACACGGTAAACCAGTAATCCAGCCAACTAGTAACTAGTCAGGTAGTGGTATCGAAACGGATACCACTACGTCGATTAAGCAGTGATAGCTTTTGTATCTTTCGCCTTAAGTCTTTTCAAGGTATTAATTAGTTCGTAAACTTGGTTGGTTTTCGATAGATTAACTTTTTCAAAAATAAATCGTCCGTTTTCTTCTTGGATAACAAACGTTTTCTCGCCGTTCTACATCTAATAAGATTGCAATAATAATGAGTTTAAGCAAAACAGGTACTATCACTACGCCTACATTCATTTAACATTGTGTAATCACATAAATTTCATTCAATTTCAATTAAGTGGGAGTGTAAGAATATCCACTACCACATCTCGTTCTGTAGGTGTTATAAGAGGCGACAGGAGGAGTCAAACCAGGAGATAGGCAGCAGTGTATACGATAGTAGGTTGTAAACTGTCTATAAAAAATCACATTGAATTGGATGAAGAACTATAGTAATCTGAGATACATATCTAATATATAAAAATTAATGTTTGTTTGTTCGTATTTTATGCGCTTCACCATTCATGAGATTGCGGTAAAACTATGTTAACTTATTGCTGTCACTTGTGCGAAGGTTATAGGCATAGAACAATTAAATTACAGTAGGTGGCGCGCGTATCGTACCGACAAATCTATTTGAAAGTTATATATCATTCAATTTCAATGAATGTATTATCATTCCTGATTAAACAATGTAACTCTTACAAATTCTAAAAAAATATTTCCACAATTGTTTTTTCTGCGGTAGCCACGCACCGGGAACCAGCTAAATAGTACAAAATAAAATATACATACATACATACATAAACACTCACGCCTGTCACCCAGTGGGGTAGGCAGAGACTATGGACTTCCATTTGGCGCGATCCTGACACACCTCTCTCGCCTCTTTTACATCCATATATCTACGCATACACGCTCGTCGGTTAAGGGTACTCCTAATCTGGCCCATTTTTAATGTATCGCCGATTTGGTCGATAAACCTTCGTCTAGGGCGTCCCTTCTCGACCCTGCCATTCACTTCCGCAACATAAATTTGCTTTGTCACTCTTTCCTCGTTCATTCTTTCTACATGACCAAACCACCGAAGCATTCCTTTCTTAATCCTTGTCACAACGTCATCTTGCAAACCACACTTTTCTCTTATCACACTATTTCTCACCCTGTCATTCAGATTCAGCCCTAGCATACTCCTTAAGGAACGCATTTCTACAGCATTTATTCTACTCTCATGCTTCTTCTGCCAGACCCAACTTTCACTACCATACATTAAAGTAGGGACTAACACAGCATTATGAATTGCCATATGTGCCTTAGTTGACACATTCTGACTCCTCATAATAGCGTGTAGAGCCCCATTCACTCTATTTCCTGCGTTCACTCGTCGTTCTATATCCTTATCATATCTACCATCCCTGCTAAATAAACATCCCAAATATACAAACTCATCCACTTGCTCAATCAACTCCCCTTCTATTCTTATTTCACATAAAGTTTTACTTTCTTCTCTTTCAAAAACCATCACTTTCGTCTTACTTGCGTTCACTTTCATACCCCTTTCTTTCAATGACCAATTCATTAAAGTAACCATCATTTGCAACTCGGCCGCCGACGATGCAAATATGACTTGATCATCGGCGTACAAAAGGCATTTGACGGTTGACTCACCCATTCTCAACCCACATTCTTCAACTTTCAAAGTTTGCAAACAACTGTCCATAAATAAGTTAAACAGCCACGGGGAAGCCACACATCCCTGTCTGACACCTTTATGAATGCCAAACCAGTCCGAGTAGACCCCGTTGATCCTGACACAAGCACTAGAGTCCCTATAAAGAGATCTTAATGCCTGTATCAAGCCAGCGCTCAACCCAAATGAGTTCAGTGTTTGCCATAACACATTCCTGTCCACTCTGTCATAAGCCTTTTCCAAGTCCATGAACGCACAAAAAACTTTCTGGTTTTTAGCCAAAAACTTCTCCGCTATCATGCGCATGGAAAAGACTTGATCCGTACACCCCATCCCCTTTCTAAATCCAGCTTGCACATCCCAAATTTTTCCATCAGTTTCTTCCATAACTCTTTCAATTAACAACTTAGCATACAGTTTACCCACAATGCTAAGCAAGCTGATACCTCGGTAGTTTTTACAGTCCTGCTGCGACCCCTTTCCCTTATATATTGGGACTATAACGGCTTTGCACCAGTCTTCCGGTACCCGTTTCAGTTCCCAACATAAATTAAACAAGGTGTGCAGCAGGCCTGTAACCACACCCTCACCAGCCCTCAGCATTTCGAGTGATACTCTATCATATCCAGCTGCCTTACCTGCTTTCATGCTTTTCATTGCTTTCATTATTTCATCTACACTTATCTCCCTACCTCTCTCCACTTCTTCCGGAATTTCTATTTCACTTATTCCAGACGACTCTTCACTCTTAAACACGCTTTCAAAGTATTCCTTCCATCTCTTTAAATTCGAAACTTCATCATTCAGCATGCAGCCATTCTCGTCTCGTATAGCATTTATTCTAGGCTGTTTTGAATTTCCCCTGGCAGTTCTAACGAGCTTCCAGAACATTTTAATATTTGCCTGGAAGTTATCAGATATCCTTCTATCATTCTTATCTATCCTTTCTTGCTTTTTCCTTTCAACAACTTCTTTTACTCTCTTATTTATACGTCTAAAGTCTGCCTTTTTTCTTCCAATCTCATCATTCATACCGCCAGAATTACCAGCTTTAGTTGCTAGTAAATCTAGCCATGCTCTCTTCTTTGCTTCAAGTTCCATCCGTACCTCATCATCCCACCACAACGTATTACTTTTACTTTCATTCGTTCTCTTACTTACACCGCATACTTCGGTGGCTGCATCCACCAAAACTTTCTTAATATTATTCCATACATTCTTCAATTCTAAATCATTCATACATAATTCATTCAACCCACTTATATTTTCCCTCAATCTGCATTTATACTTCTCTTTCACACCTTCATCTTGTAACCTCTCTATTCTTATACGCTGTAACGCAGTGGTAGACACCGATGTCCGATGCCGCCAACGTCTGAATAGACCATTAATTCGACATAAGACCAAGTAATGATCCGTCCCTACGTTGGACCCCCGGTAAACCCTTGTATCTACCACTGCGCTCCTCATTCTTTCATCCACAATTATAAAATCTATCATGCTTCTATCATCCCCTCTTTCCCATGTATACATGTGAATCCTCTTATGGCGAAAGAAAGTGTTCGCCACAAAAAGATTCTTTTCCACACATACGGTGAGGAGGTCTTCACCATTCTCATTTATTCTTTCATCGCCAAACGTTCCTAATATCCTTTCATAATCAGACCTCTTCACCCCAACCCTTCCATTAAAATCTCCTAACATAATAATATTTTCATTTTTCTTACATTTCATCAACACCAGCCTTACCATGTCCCAAAACTGCTCTCGGATATAAGTGGGCTTAGACATATCTGGGGCGTACACCCCTAGCACAAACAACTTCTTTAAGCCCACTTTCATTCGCATCCACAGCAGCCTTGGGCTAACACATTCATACTCTTTCACACATTGACCCATTCTTTCTGAAAGGATGACACTGACTCCTTGGCATGCCCGCTCGGTCTCGTCTACTCCAGACCAGTAAGCGGTATACATGCCATGTGCAGTGACATCTCTTCCCTTTCGTTTCGTCTCGTTTACACATAACACATCTATTCCTCTATCATTCATCATTTCGCATACTTCATCCATCTTATCATTCATTGCTCCACATACATTCAGCGTGGCCAGACGGGCCTCCGCAATCCACTTTTCGCCCCCCCGGGAGACAGGACGTGACGGGTGGCGAACCTCGTCGCCGGTTTTTCTCCCGGAGATTCTTCGCACCCCTGCCCCATTAAAGGACAAAATAATATATAATGTTAATTATATATATATTTTAATAATTACGTAACGATTTTTTTAATAAAACTTAAGTGACAAACGAAGTAACAGTAAACACACACACACACACACACACACACACACACACACACACGCACACACACAACACACACATATAACGCACCGGGAACCAGCTAAATAGTACAAAATAAAAGATATAATGTTAATTATATATATATTTCAATAATTACGTAACGATTTTTTTAATAAAACTTAAGTGACCTAACAGTAACACCTAATGGGAAGTGGTTACTGCAGCCCACGAACACCTACACCTAGCTATCTTCAAAATTAGAAAGCTACAGATGCGTTGCCATCTCTGAGGACCATGATGGAATGCCTCACAGCCTCTAATTATACTTTCTACCCCCTCCATTCCGGAATGCAGCAGAACAAACACTGCACAAACACTTTTTTTATTTATTTTTTTATAGGATAAGAGTGAAAAGCGAGCACACAGTCCACCTGATGGTAAGTGATTGCTGCGGCCCATAGACATCTACATCTATCCCGGTTTGCGAATCAAAATGCAGATGCGTTGCCACCCGTGAGGACTAAGATGGAATGCCTCATTTCCAGTAAAAAGGGCCTCCGGCCACCTGCACTCACCAAGCGAAACGCAGAGGTAAACCTCTACTTCACGCTGGTATTCTGTGAGGTAGTGGTACCACCCCGGTTCGAGCCGGCCCATCAATGCGATAGCAAAAGCTGCCGCCTGGCTCTACCACTGTTAAAAATTATACTTGGCGGCAGGCAAACTCCTAGGCAGAAAAGTGCTGCCACAGTGACATGTTCAGTGGCATTATTTGTTATCTAGTCAATCGACATTTTCAATCAACAAAAATCAATTTTCATACTTGAAACTTAAAATTAAATTGATATTTTCTTATAAATATAAAATCGTTGCTATGCCAAAGTTACGTACAATGTTAAGTACAATACGAGTATAGGAAATCGTATGTTTTTTTCATATATTTAATATAATTTTGTAATCTATGCATAAAATAAAATTGAGGTGTCTATTTGTAATGTCAAAATAGCAGCTTTTCACTTAATGTATCTGAATGTACATACGGTACTTATATTTGTCTATCTGTTTTTTCCGGCTAATCTCCGAAATGGCTGGACTGATTTTGACAGAATTTTCAGTGGCAGATAGCTGATGTTATAAGAAGTAACTTAGGCGCACAAAATTAAAACCCATGAAATCCAATTGTATTAAATTCTAAGCGGACAAAGTCGCGGGGAACAGCTATATATATTTATATAATATAATCATCATCATTACAGCTCTTCACAAGTTCACTGCTGAACATAGGCCTCCCCCAAAGAATGCCGGTCCTGAGCCACCTGTATCCATCGACTTCCTGCATATCTTACCAGGTCGTTACTCCATCTAGTGGGGGGTTGGCCTACACATCGCCTGCCGTTTACCTAATATGTTTATATAACCTTACAAAAATTATTTTGTGTAAGGCATTTAATGTAAATATCACTGTGAGTACACTGATAGTATCTGCCTATTTTACTCATTATAAATCAACGTATAATTTACTTTAGCAAATAATGCAGAATCGTCAACCTGATTGCATATAATGAAGTTATTACAACGTACGATAATAATGTCGTAACCGCATTTTTTTAAAACGCCGCTTTTAAAGTCAGTTTTCGTTCGACGTTGTTCTAGCATGGCTCATTTCGCTTTTATACTTACTCTCTTCACAGTGTACACCAAGATGCGCCCAAGTGTTCTTACAAATACATTCGTACGTAGACCACAGCTCTTTACAAGTCGCTCTGTTCTGACACGGGTTCGGTACACAAGAAGGCTTACAGTCTTTAATGATCTCTGACAAATGTACAGACATGTAACTGTATATGTCTAAGACCTCTCCGTTTACAACTAAGCCTCTAAAGCAGCCTATAAGCCCTTGATGTACTGCTGATTTCTTTAGATGTTCCCTGTAATTAAATGTTTGAATGACATGGTTAACAAACACATTTATGAAATTTAACATATTATGGCGGTGCACTTGTATTGTGTTCTATGTACAATAGGAACGTTTAAGTTAATATTCATGTTAGATTTTACACTAATAGTAAGTTAAATTTCATTACGAATAAAAAAGCAACTCGACTTTTTTTACGGAAAGTTTTAGAAACATTTAATTAATTTTTTTTTTATGGAATAAGGCTGTGGCCCATAGACATCTACATTTATCCTCAATTAAGAATCAAAATGCAGATGTGTTGTCACCCCTGAGAATTGAGATGCCTAGTTCCCAGTAAAAAAGGTCTCCGGTTCTTTACACTCACCATACGAAACACAGAAGCATTAAGCTGTTATTTTACGCTGGTATTCTTTGAGAGCGTGGTCCTAACCCGGTCGATCCGACCCGATCGTGCTGCTACCACAATATAGCTGCAGCATGGCTCTACCATGTAATATATCGAAGTAATTATATTTTTCAAAGTAATTATTTGTTCATTAGTAATTTGTATGAAATTATAATATTATATTTACTTACATAATATTTATGTAATATTACATTACATTTATATATTGCACAAAAATCACTAAGTCGTTAAAGACTAAAATGTTATTTATAAAAAAGCAAATGGAATTCAGTATACAAGTTAGTTCTGATATTTATTGCCACAATTACAGCAAGGAGCTTTTAAATAAGTCCAAATTATTTTAACAGAACTCATAAATAAAATTATATTGGTCATTACACACATAAAATGGACATACCTTACGATTTTCGAATATGGAACACTTGCGCAAGAATGCGATTTAATTATTTAACACTTACCATAATATAACTTTTAAAAATACCAAATTAATTACCAAAATAATTTAAAACTTACGCTGTTGCACCACCAATGAACATAGATCCTTCAAATGGACCGAACTCTTCTTCCAACAGTAAATTCAACATTTGGTATTCCGTGTTCAACATAAACCGCACATGGTAGAAGTTATAGTCGATCCATATTTTGTGCCACTCTCCACCGTTCAGCTTTCTCTTGGAATTGATAACCAATTTCCTTGTGGTTCCCGTGTTCAGCGTGAAGTTGAAAGTTAACTCGTGATCTGCAAACCAAAACGTTTTGACGGTTATTAAATTGTAAGCTTTATGTTTATTAACTCGCATCCCTTTAAGACTTTTTAGTACCAGTGCAGTTTAATAACTAATATATATATACGTTAGCATTTCCTGTACATTAATATTATGACCACATTGGCTGCATTTCACTAGTTTTAGCTCGGTTTTAATTACTAATAATAATTAACTTGGCTCTGTGGCTCGCCTACATACGTTTATGTTGAGAAATCGCAAGCATCTCTGGCAGATAGAAAACTTAGATATTTTTATTTATAACTAGCTGTTCCCCGCGACTTCGTCCGCGTGGAATTTATTACGATGAATTTTATGGGTTTTAATTTTTTTGCTCGAAACCCTAATTCTTTTTCTAAAATAAAAGTAACTTAAGTTACTCCTTATTATATATATATATATATATATATATATATAATAAGGAGTACTAAGGAGTAATATAATAATAGCTATAGCTACCAGTGATTTTGACATTACAAACAAACACTTCAATTTTATTTATTCGCATTTTTATTTCCGCCATCGTTAAAAACTCTTGCCATTTACCTAATATTCTAATTAGTAACCTAATGAATTATAAATTTTGAATTTATATTTGGGCTTATTTTAATATATACCAAAACACACGCCATCTCCTACGTATACTACAATAATTTTTTTTGGAACGTAAAGTGTCAAATTAAAAATAAGTGCGATAAATTCAAAATGATTATAGCGATAATATGTATATCCCCAAAAAATACCTTAGGCAATTACTTGCATCTGACAAAGTAGAAAACCATTATATTATATCTTTGCCTTCGAAATATGTCTTTTGAAATTTGCGACTCTTATGAAGAAAACTCTTATTGAATCAATCCCATTATTCGCAAACCCAAAAGCTGTATTTGTATTAGAGTTTAAAAAATCCTATTAAAAAAAGTATAGATGAGAGGTCCGGTAGAGGATCACTAATTACAGGAGGCGACAGGACGTAGCTTCGTAGGCTACATCGTATTCAACATCGCAAAGTCAAGCGTGGAGAAAGTGAAATTTCGTTTTAGTCCTGGTATTAATGCAATTTTAGAATCTTTGTTAAGAAGTGTCTCCCTTGTCATCGACTTTGAAGCCCGGCTCAATAATTATAAAATTTTATCAGAACTCGGTGTTCTCACCAATACACATATAAGAAAAATACACCTGAACCGCCGAAGTTGAATTTCCTGCTGTGTTGTTTGGTTTCAATGGTTCCGACTCGTTTATTATATCACGAAATATTTTTTTATATTCCGTGTATTATATATATTTATTATCTATTTTTCAACCTAGTTTTTATAACGCAATATTTATAAAGTACTGATTTTTATTATTATAGAAGTAATGGTGACAAACTTGTACAAAGTCCACCTGTGAGGAATGAAAGATGAAGATGGAATGCTTCGTTACCGTATCACACGGAACACAGCAGTATTGAGCTGCCACTTACCGCTGCTATTCTGTGCGATAGTTGTGAATATATATAAATTATATTATATGAATATAATAGGATATGACTCTTACTGACACTAGCCGACGCTAAAGCTAAGTAAAGCGGGGTCTTTGACAATTAAATTAAAAACTACATACAATTTGCATACAATTATTTTTTTAAATAAAATGAAAAAATATTGTTCGAGTTTTAAAAATAAAGTTATTTCTATAGGTTTAAATAATGATCCTGATAACGTATTTAACGGGAACCACAGGGTTTTTGTTACATATTGTATAGATCATAACAGTGGTAGAGCCACGCGGCAGCTTTTGCTGTCGCACGGATGGGCCGGCTCGAACCGGGGTGGTACCACGACCTCACATAATACCAGCGTGAAGTAGAGGTTTACCTCTGCGTTTCGCTTGGTGAGTGCAGGTGGCCGGAGGCCCTTTTCACCGGAAATGAGGCATTCCATCTTAGTCCTCACGGGTGACAACGCATCTGCATTTTGATTCGCAAACGAGGATAGATGTAGATGTCTATAGGCCGCAGCAACCACTTACCATCAGGTGGACTGTGTGCTCGTTTGTCACTATAAAAAAATAGATCATCACATAAGTCATGTCATATATCAGTTCATACTTCATTTTGTTTAAAATGATTAATTAATGATTTAAAATTCTTCTTAAATATGAAGTTAATATATTATATAACTATAAGCCACTTACAAAAATATTAAAATGGAAATAAATCAAGCAAGAGAAATTAGAAACATGTACGTATTACTCGTATATAGGAATAAAGTTTATAAAAAAATGTTAATTACGCAAGGAAAAACGTTGAATAATCGTTTTTGTTGGAGAGCTTTTTTGAACGAGTCTGTACAGGTACTGCCCGTGAAGTTTAGTACTAAAAGAATTTTATGAACTAAAATATAAGCGATATATTTTACGCACGGAAATTCCCTCGAGGTGACTAATATTTTTCCAAATGCCTAGCAGCACAATTTTTTATCTTATTTTATATCATATTGGATTTTTGTAGGTTTCGTTGAAGAATATTTTTCACTAAGAATTTATATCAAGCTACTATTTTTGAAATATATTATAATATAAAGCAACCACATCGTTTGTCTAAACCGTAAAATGCATGTAACTCTCTCTTATTTTATTGAAGTAATCGATAATATAGAATTTCGATTCGCTTTGATAATTTTATTTGTTGTATTATTACAGCAAAATATATCCATAAAAACTAGCTGCTTGATGACAATGCAAAAGCTAGTTTTTTTAGATGTTCCAAAATGTTATTTGATTTTCAAGCCAAATAATTTAGAGATTTTCTGGCTTAATATTTTTGTGTTGTCTTTTATTAATAAGATTAGAAAAAGTTCGGAAACTTCTCAGCCTCTAATACAAAATTAAATAGTATAAAAGAAAAAGATAAGGTTTCATTTATTTTCTTTGTTGTCTACCATGATTTCACATAGGTAAAATTTTATTGTGAGAAGCCATTAAAGTAAAGAAGAAGAAAAATAAATTTCATAGTATACCATCAACCCTTGAAGGCGCAAACTCTTTTCTGTTCTTTCTATTATAAATCAAAATGCAGATGCGCTGTCACCCGTGAGGACTAAGATGGAATGCCTCATTTCCAGTAAAAAGGGTCTCCGGTTCTCTACACTCACCATACGAAACACAGCAGCGTTAAGCTGCTATTTTACGCTGGTTTTCTGTGAGAGCGTGGTCCTTCCCCGGTCAAGCCGACCCAATCGCGCTACAACTATACTACTAATATAGCTGCAGCATGGCTCTACCACGTATAAAAGCTTCGTAACAAAGTCAAAGTAGAAGACAAAATATTTTCATTTATATTGGTTGAGCATGTGGCGGAGCTGTCGTCGCGCCAGAAGCGAAAACACAACAAAGCCTAAATCGCGCTATCAAAGTTTCGAAGTTAAAGCAGTATATATAGAATAGCTCCGAACTACCACTCAGAGCGTTGGCCGCTCCCCAGGTAGACCGCCTTGCCCGGCGTGAGATTTCTCCTTTTCCTTCCACCGGTTACAAGCACATTTTGAAAGGCAAAAAGCAACGCTATCGCTTCAATAAGTTTCCACTGTGGGACACCTTATTACTCGGGAGATTTGAGAGAAAGGGTGAAAGTCAGTGTTGTTATTTTATTCTTACCGAATATAGTTTATTAATTATCAGGTGTGCTAGAAAATATTTAAACAGTTTTAGTGGCGTCAGTCCTGTAGTTTTAGTGTGCAGTTTGTTTGTACCACACAAATTAGGCTAGGCCTAATCTGTTCCAGGAGCTCGTCATTACTGGTTGAATAATTCCTTTTTAGATTTCACTTACAGCATTTTGGATCCTCCTCCTCTTTATTTTTATTATGTAAACAGTCCACTGCTGAAGGCATAGGCCTCTGCTATAGACTGCCTTATAGGGCGGCTATTTTCCATAGTTGGCACCCTTGGCAGGCGGGTTGGCTACGGCAGTTTATTTTATTTTTTTAGTTGTTATTACGAAGATTATGCTGCCCATCTCTTGGTTTAGTGGTAATTGTTTAATGGGAAGAAATTTATGGTTATTTGATATAGGTGGTAGAGCCACACTGCAATTATGGCTGCTGCACGAATATGTTGGGTCGCCCGGAGAAGGACCGCGTTCACACAGAATACCAGCGTGAAATAAAAACATTATGCTGCTGTATTGTTTCTTAAAGTAAATGAAGAGAACCGGAGAGCCTCTTTACTGGTAACGAGGTATTCCATCATAGACCTCAGGAGTGATAACGCATTTGCGAATTTGCTACAGTATCCAACTACCATCGGATTGGCAATGTACTTTTTTTTATAGGATAAGGGTGACAAACGAGCACACAGTCCACCTGATGGTAAGTGGTTGCTGTGGCCCATAGACATCTACATCTATCCTCGATTAATAATCAAAATGCAGATGCGTTGTCACCTATGACGACTAAGATGGAATGCCTCGTTTCCAGTAAAATGGGTCTCCGGTTCTCTACACTCATCATACGAAACACAGCAGCGTTAAGCTGCTATTTAACGCTGGTATTCTGTGAGTGCGTGGTTCTTCTTCGGTCGAGCTGACCCATTCGTGCTACAACCATAATATAGCTGCAGCATGGCTCTACTACGTAAACAAACTTACGTACTTGTTTGTCACTCGCACTTCTATAAAAATAAATTTTTAAATTACAACTTACCACTTGTTAAGGCAACCATGAATGATGGATAGTTCGGTCGAATAGGGGGCTGGAACAATAAAATGGCGCTGGTACCAGTTGTACGGAAACTGAACGCAATATCTCCTTTCCTCCAACCTGGCACCTCGATGTAGGACTGCGATGTTGTAAAGGTTACCACATACCTTTGCGTGTCTGTAAAGAATACGGAATCATTTTTCAAAAATATTGTAAGGCACTAAAAATAGAAAAAGATAAAAGTATTCGTATAGCCGTAGACCAAGAAATTTTAATATCTCTTCGCATATAAAAATTTCATATAGGTCGTAATCCACTATATCATTCACTAATGTTAATTTGTGTACTGATTTCAAATTTGTAAAAGAACGAAAAGCAACTGCAGTGTTCAGCAGTTGAAAAGTCTGACTAGACTTATGGGTTTAAATACCGACCAAAGCTAGTAATTGTACAATCGTCAAATTTTCTAATGGAGATAGAAGTGTCATCATCATCATCATCATTAGAGTCTTTCACAAGTCCACTGCTTAACATATGCTTCCCCCAAGGAATGCCACAAAGCACGGTCCTGAACCATCTGAGGTCGGTCACTTCATCTAGTGGGGAAGGGGGGGGGGCTATACTTCGCTAACGTAGTTGACACTCCAGTTCTTATAACTCTTGGCTGACCCATTGCCACTTTAGCTTATTAATCCGTTGGACTATGTCGGTTAATATGACCAAATTGGAAATCATTTCTAAAAGTGTCAGAGAGTGCATCTGAGCTATCATGTGATGAGAAAATCATTCGTTTTCGTGAAAACACTATATTCTAACGTATTCAGGACATGGCGTTTACAGTTCAGGTCATATCTAAACTCGGCTTGCAGCTTCTGGGTGGCACTAGCGGTGTGGTTCTAGTTTACGCAGCGTGACAGCCGCTGATACTCAGCTCCACCAATTCAAGCGTTAGGACTCTCCATGGACGAATGGGATGTACTGCGACAACATCACGTAAGGTTGGGTTTACATTTGACCGTCTTAACGTAACTTGATCAGGCGTCATCGTATCTTATACTTTTATCTTAAGTTTGGACGCCCATTTTGACCATCTAGCCCTATTGAGTTAGAAAAATTTATTTATCCACATATACGCCGATACGCTGACTTGATACGATATGGTTAAGTCCACACTTACAACAATTTTTTCTTTGATCCATAGATTACAAGGGAAAAACCAACTAGAGATGAGACATGGTGATGATACACTTATGCTTCGTATTGGATCTTCATGTCGTAATACAGTATAAAGATACGTTTTTATTACCGATCACGATACGTATGTACTCGTATATCCATTAAGAGGTGTATCAAATACGGAAGGTTTTGTGCGGAACGTTTTATTTTATTGCGGAAGTTATATTTATTTACGAGGTATTGTTTTTACATATTATGGATAAAATCAATAAAAGAAAAACCCAAACCCGTGAATTGATTACTAACACATTTATGGGAAACTAGTTGCTATCTTCATATTTGAAAGGACGTAAGTCGAAGGCGAAGTGAAAGCTTTAATTGAGTACCTACTAATGTAAAAACAGTAATGATGTTAATAACGCTAAATGGAACGGAGGGAATCAATTTTTTTTCTTTTTTAAAGAATAGTCATATTTCTTATTTATAAAAAAAATTGCAATAGAATCTACTCAAAACACACTTCATATTTAATTTGAAAGCTGGGAAAATCTTACTCTGCGTAATCAAGAAACGCATACGTTGTTGTCTAGACTAGCGAAGAGGGAGACTATATTTGCATAAAGGAAATGAACACGTCAGCAAATTTACAACAAAAGGATCACGGAGTGCAGCAAAGAGTTCATAGCCTCTCTTGACAATAAAAATTTTGATGGGTTTGTTCCATGTAGTTAATTTTTGAATAGTTCCAGTAAGTAATAATATAGTACGTAATAATATAAATACATCCATACATATAAATGAAATTGAAGTGTCTGTCTGTAATATTGAAATAACTGTCTTTTATTAAGCTGAGGGGCTTAGCTGTTTACATCCATTAAAAATGAATTTTTAAAACAGACAAAAGACAGACAATTTTTTTTAAATTTCTTTCTGTCTGTCTATTTGGGCTAATCTTCGGAATGGTTGAACCGATTGTGTCACTTTATACATAAATATAGGGAGAAATTCCAGGTGGAATCTAGGCTATATATTTTATCCAAAAACCTTGAGGATTATTCGAAAAAAAAAAACCGAAAAATTGATAAAATAAATGGTATTTGATTACCCAAACTCAGAATATCCTGGCGAAATCAGGGCAGGTCGCTAGTATAAAAAAGTCCAGTAAAAGTGTCCTCTAGAGCGAATTTCCGACACGGCGGCCATTCTCAACGGAAACTGGCTATCTGTGCTTGACATGATTATAGTGTACAAGTGTGCGTGGAAACACAATTGAACTCTCTATTTCTTCCGAGTCCGATGAGATCAATCCAGATCTCATTACACTCTGCCGCCACTAGAGAACCTTTCTTCCCTAATGCTTTTTGATTCTTCGAGTTATATAACTGGCCCATTGCCACTTCAGCTTTCTCATCAGTTAGACTATCTCGGTTACTATGGTTCTACTACGGATATCCTTGATTCGGATTCTATCACGCAGAGAATATCCAAGCCTTTTGCTCTTCATAGCTGGCTGAGTGAACTAAAGTTTACTCATAACTGCTGGGGACGGATGAGTCTATCGGTACGCATTTCGTTTTTATAGGTATTTTTTTAAATAATTTAAGGTCGGATTTCTATTTATTCGTATTATTTTTTTTTCGTTGCTAAAGAACTAAAACTAAACGTTCCGAGTCCATGTTATGGTGGTTTGGACATTTTAAGCGAACACGACAACGACTGGAACGACTTTGATGACGAATGACTAGAAAGACATTAAGGTGTTGTCGGCTCTCTGTTGACTGTGTTATTGAAAGAAGGAAATGGCTCCTGAGGATTAGGAAAGTCAAACCCGCATAATGGAAAAAGGCGAGGATAAAGAAAAAGAACAAGCTAGCAGGGGCAAGTTTGTATATAGCAAGGGCAAGTTTGTATACCATATATATATATATATATATATATATATATATATATATATATATATATATATATATATATATATACAAGCAAGCATATATATATGTTTAAGTGTACACCATAATATTTCCTGCGCAATATTCGGAAGTTGGTTGCCGTCGGCGGAATCGGCCAAGTGAGTATGGTTTAACAAATATTAGATCAAAATCTTTAATGTGTAAGGTTGAAGCTATTATATTATATATATTTAGGGTTCGAATCCCGCACGGAACAAGTATTTGTATGGCCTACAAATAATTGCTCCGGGTTTGGATGTTTGTTGTCCTTGTGCAATTATTGCTTGTAAACTGCCTCTACGATGGTAACGTGGAAGTAACAGTTTTTTAAAAAAAAATATTATGGCGATACCGTCGGGAAAAATCTTCAAATGGACGTGGTTATGCAAAAAGGATCCAACCCTAAAAAGAAAGCTAATTTGAGGTTATGAAATTTGAAGAATGGATCTGTATGGTTTGTGTGTGTGTGTTTGTAATTTTTCTTCTTATTTGTGTTACTTTCGCTAAAATTGTTGCCTCACATAATAGTATAGACCACAAACATTATTTTTCAACTGAACATTTTTGACACAAATCACATTGGATCCTTTTTGCGTAACCAAATCTTAAATAAAAACAAAAAGCGCTTCCAAAAAATCCAAATAACTTTAGGCTAATATTCTGTAAGAGCGTGGTTCTTCCCTCTTAGTTTTGCTGCAACCTTAATAATTTTAAACGTAGCGTGGCAAAAGTTTTTAGATCTTAAAATAGTGTCTTCTGCAGGCTTTGCCATGTAGAAAAGTTAAATATTGTGTGTTGTAAAAGGATATTCTATCATATCTTTTGAAAAAACTATCTAATAAACAAAACAAACTCATCTTACTTGTTTCCACACATTCCAATGGCCCTAATGTAATTCTACCTTGGGCTTCTTCAGTTAAGTCTTTCTGCTGTAAAAAGAACATCTCGGTTATCCCAAGACTCTTTGGATCCAACAGAATTCCTTCGTCTGAATGCCATTTATTCTCATTTGCATCACAATTGCAGGATTGCGTTGGATTCACACAGGTAGCGTTTACACCGCAAGGACAATATCCTCTGAAAATTAAATGTCTTCAATGAATGCTTGGTAAAGATTAGTCCCAGATATATTCTGTAACATACATATTTTAACTTAGGTTTTTTATTATAATTAGAAGGAAAAGAAGAAGCATAAATTAACAAATAAAGTTGTAGATAAAATACAAAACGTATGAAATATTCAATAATATATTTTTGTTTTAATCAAAAAGCTTAAACTATCTTGAAAATTTCTAGAAATTTTATTGGTATAATATGTTTGTTCTCGTTTGTAAGGGTGGGGGGGGGGGTTATTCATCAATTCGTTCATTCTTAACAGTCTATCATAAAGCTGCTGAACACAGGCCTACTCCATAGATTGCTAGAATGCCACTAAGAACGGTAAGCTACGTGCATCCATCTATAACCTGCGTGTTTCGTCAGGTCGTTATTTCATGTAGTGGTAGTGTTATCTTCTCTCCGAAATGTCAATTACATATTCAATTATCATAAATTACACCTAAATTAAATTTCACATTACCACATGTTTCATTGTACATTACATTGGATGACCATTTCGTGGAATCTGTTCAAAAACATCACAAGCCTGCTCAAAGGCCGGCACTCCTGTAATTTTTCTGCATCTGTTCATGAGCGGCAGTGATCACCTACCATTAGATGAGCCAAGTGCTCGCATGCCCCTTTTTATATATAAAAAAACGCGGTGCATGCTGCTGATTGACAGACGTGGCTCTAGCGACTTACTAAAGACGGAAAAACGTTGAACGTCAAATTCTATAAACTGGTGAAAAGGAATTGCAATACCAGTATAAAGGTGTAGGTGCTGTTGCGTAACTTTCTCTTGAGTCAGATACCATGGTTTTATATACGTATATATTCGTAGTTTTATTCTACAATTTTTCTGCTGTCTACCTGATTTACTAATGGGGATATAAAGCTAATGGTCAATTTAAACTCATAATGTTCTTTAGATCCAATTTTGTTCTTGCGGCCAGTCTCAACGGTTACTAGCCATCTGTGCAGGACAGAATTGTAATGCACGAGAGTGTACATGAACACAGGTATGCTTTCTTACATCACTGCAATAACCCGATGGAAAGACCAACGAAATATTCGTATTCTTACACACTCTTCTCAAACGGTATAGCGTTCAAACATACGTAATTATGGTGTGTTGTATTTACGGTAAAATGTATCGATATAAACTAAAAGGGTTTTATTAAATAGTTAAATGTTCCAATGAGTAGCGATTGCTAGGTTTAAGGCTAACAATTCAGCAATAAAAAAGGGTCACATGTAATGGCATGTGGGTGCTTTCGATTTAATTTTCGCTAAGTATTATCGTGCCAATCGAATTGTGATTACGGACTTAAAAAGGTAGTGGCGATAAAATTTAACGAAGGTTAAGGGTCCTTTAACGGATATAGGGGCGCCCGAATCAAAAGTATTGAATGGTCTGCAAAATTTGGAAGTAATTTGTTCGATTGAATTGTTAACATTGTGTAGGACTGATAAGCGTTTTATTTCAAATAGGCACTGTAAGGGGTTTATGCCAACGCACACGATATTCTATTCATGGTCATTGACAGCCAAGATACTGGTAACCGAGTAATGGATTGTCTTCTTGGTCTAGTGATAGTAAACGCAGCAGCTGAACATGAGGTCCCGGGGTTAAAACCAGCTACGGGCTTTTTCTGTCAACAAATTCTGACTAGCATCCTGAAGTCAGGAAGTTGGCGTTGTTTCACCCCCATGCCTCAGAAAGCACGTGAAGCTGTTGATTCTGCGCCTGAGCTCTCTCCGGTCGTGTCCGATTACGTGCAATGGAGAGTGCATCTCTTTCATCTGTTCTTGCGCATGCACTTGGTCACTTTATTCCTTTCCTGCACAGATGGCTAGTCTCCGCGGAGATTAGCCGTCGTGACCAATATCTGAAGTAGATTAACTGAGTAATATTGGAAAATCCATTCAAATATGCTATTCAAATATGAATATATTATAATATAATGTAGCCCAAATCCCACTGAAGGCAGTGCGAAATGGACAGCATGATCAGTGCGAAAGTATTGGCTACGCTCATGAACATACAAAACACAATTGCTATTTGCTAAAAAAAGTCTTGAGCGATTATCATATTCACCATATTTCGCATGTGAAGTGACGAGTCGTACCCGACAAGGGCTTAGCTTAGTTAGTGACTGGGTCCTCACATCCCTGCTCAGATGGCGGTTAGATAGCTCGAAAACTCCATACAGGTATCTTCTATGGCAGTGCTATTTATTAATCTTACCTTTTAACGTTTCCCAAGTAATCTACGGTGTCGTTTGAGGATGAAATGAACCACGTGGCACTGTGTAGTTCTAAAGGTGCCATATTGCAATCGTATTTAATATACTGACGACAAAATAATGAATGCGAGATCAACTCTTGAATCATTTCCGCTGAAAATTCTCTATATTTTATTTTGAAACTAAAGTCTTGTCCTGACGCGGAGCGAACATCCTAAAAATAACGAAATTATATTATTTTCTTTTTGTTATGTTTGTCAGTTACAAGCTAATGGCCTTGTTTCATACAAATGATAAACCTTGGAGATACATTTGCAATATTGTTGTCATTGGTGAGATAAAATGTTAATATTTATGATCAAATTATAAATTGGTTGCTTTGTTATTTATAAAATTTGTTTAACGATTTTTCCTAATCAAATTATATTTTAAAAGTAGATAAAGTTGTGCTAGCTCAGAAGATGAGTAAAAAAGTAAAAGATACGACTAAGGGTGACAATCGAACACAGTCCACCCGATGACAAGTGTATGAAGTTGCCCATCGACATCTATATATCTAAAATGCAGATGCGTTGGTACCCCTGAGGACTAAGATAGAATGCTTTGTTTCCAGTAAAAAGAGTCTTGGTTCCTTACACTCACCATACGTAGCACTGCAGCATTAAGCTGCTATTTTACGCTGGTATTTTGTGAAAACGTAATATAGCTGCAGCGTGGCTCTGCCACCTGTAAATTTCTTTCTTCACTGTCAAGCTCTTAATAAATCAGTATTTCGTTGTTGCTGGTGATTGGTGCTTCGTTTTATGAAGTGTTAAATAGTTTAAGAAATTCATTTTTATTGATTAATTTCTATTTATATAAGAATATATAAGAATCTGAAATATATGTTGAGTAACTCCTTCAGCCTTCCGGGGCTAGATAATAAAGTGCATAAAATCTCGTGTATCTGTTTTAGAGCTCAACTGACCTTTAAAACTTTGGAGACGCTAAAGTAATAAAAACGATAGCTAAATATTAAAAGATGAAAATAACGAATACCAACATAACGTTAAAAATATTACATGCAATCGTCGTACCTTATTTTGTTTTATGGTCGTGGCTAGGGTTGCCAACTTTTTGTACGATAAATGAAGTGTATTAAGGTCAGGGAGCTGAAATAAACAGTATTTAAGAAAAAAAAAGAGTATTTTTGGAGTTTCAATACATATTTTTGGAGCTTCTTGCATAATTTAATAATTTACTATCGTTTTTCTAGTATTCGTCAGCCTAATTTTTTATTAACAGTAGAAGCTCTATTTCTTGTTTCATAGCGAATAACAACGATGATGAAAACAATATTTTTTCACATTGTTAATAGAACAGTATTAAAGAGTGAAATAAAGTATGACACTGTTTTTAACACTATGGTTGGCAACCCTAGTTGTGGCTGAGTTAACGTTTTCCAATTAATGACTTGAGTTATATTTGCTTATTATTTTAACCGTATCACTGGTTGAACAAAACTTGAGCAAGTATTGTTCAAACTAGTTTGTAGACTAATTTGAAAATTTTTAGATTTTACGAGGTAGGGTAGCTGCAGCTATAGTCCTGGTATAGTTGTAGCACGAATGAGTTGGCACGACCGGGGAAGGACCAGGCTCTCACAGAATACCAGCGTAAAATAGCAGCTTAACGCTGCTGTTTCGTATGATGAGTGTAGAGAACCGGAGACCCTTTTAAATGGAAACGAAACATTCCATCTTAGTCCTCACGGGTGACAACACATTTGCATTTTGATTCGTAATTAAAAAATTAAATTCGAATCGGATAGATGTATATGTTTAACAGCATCCATTTACCATCAGGTAGACTGTGTGCTCGTTTGTTACCCTTATCCTATAAAAAAAAACTCTTTACAAATTTGGTAGAATTCTTTACCAGATTACGTACGTACGTACATTTGTCATGAGGACAATGAAATCCTATATAAATGTATAGGTTTGTTAAATTACGATTTGCACATATCATGATAGTTACTGGATCTCTTATTTTTACCGCAGTTCAGTATTATTCGATAATGTAATAATAAATACGAAGAAATAATTTACAATCTCACCAGACCACTATTTGTTTTCACTCTTTTCTTTATTGTGATAATATATAAAAGAGAAGTTTCCAGAAGAGGAATGTGTTGAAAGTATACTTTAAAACATTTTTAAATAATCGATCAATAAGACAAAAACTTACTACTTGACTTGGAAGGTTGTGTTCAACCACAGTGGTAGAGGAATCAGCTTCAATTTGAAATTCACATTTGACGTGCGCTGGTGGAAACTTGCCATTGCCATCGATATCGATGAGATAAACGTCATTTCTTGTGTACCCGAGCAGTGCTAGCTCCTCACAGGTCTTTCTGAATGTTGCGAAGTGACAGTTTTCACCGATATAACCTTGAAAACATATTGGGTACTCTCTTAAGACACATCGAAAACAGTTTAAGGCGATACCCCGACCAAAACCTTGCGATAGTGCGTTTTTCTTCGTTATTCAGAGACTATTATCTCATTAGTTATGAGAAATAAACTACATCTAAAAGAACATTATTAATGTTCGATATCCTATCATCACATTCCACGTTCTAATTTGTTTTTATGTGTTATTAATACATTTAAAATCTAATTTAAAAAAAATATTAAAATTATTGATTACATGCATCTGTTGCTAAAGGCAACAATATAATCATTTGAGGATTACATTAATGGATAGATAATGTAAAAATCTATATTATTCACGTTTTGTTTAATTTTTAAAGTTAGCTTTTCTTTTTTTCAAAAATTGTGTGAATTCTATGATAAATGAGCGTACGCAGAGTGCGGGCGGCAGTGCACTGCATGCTCAAGGTTATTTGGTCAGGGAAACGTCTTAAGCGGGCTATCGCCGGACTGATCCGAGCTATTACATAATTTTTATAAAAACTTTAAAAAAACGACATAAGGTCTAAAATTGCGTAGCGCCCGCGATGAATAAGACCGCTTAGAAATCCCTTAGAATCCTTAAATATAAAAAAAAATTGTTCATTTAAATAACTAAAATAATGAGCAAGCCATGAGCAAGCAAATTACGAATATTGATGTTATGAATGTATTTGAATGATTCCCAAGCATATACATTAAGTAATTTCGTTGTAATTTTAACAAATCATTTTTAAGAGGTGTTTTCGCAAATAATCATGAAAGAGTCAAAATTATACAATCGTGTGTTTGAAATAGCAAATTCAAGATGAAGACATGAATTTACCTATATCAAAATTCCAGTTTCGTTAGTCGTGTTATAATCCTATACGAGTACTATTCGATGAAAGGAGGGGATTCCATTTTCTCGCGGTGTTGCCTTAAGTAAGTAAGCATAAAATATTATGATTTTAAAACTTTTACCATAGAGGTATAACAAGTTAAAGAAAGTTCGGAAAAAAAACACAACCTTTGAAGAAAATTCAAAGATTATGTATTTTTTCCGAACAGGATTTTTAAATAAAGTTCTTTTAGCACTTAAAATAGTCTATTTATATTAAAAATACAGATATTTATTAACAACGTTTCATATAACGAAATTTTAATTAATGATTGACGAGATTTTTACCTGTGTTATCACAGTTACATATAACTCTGTCCTCTCTGATGGAACAGACTCCTCCATGTTCACACGTATTAGGCCTAGTACAGGGGTCGACGTAGCGACAGTCGTCGATTGCAACTTCGCCTACTACTCTCTCAGTATTGATAACAAACCTTGTAATAAAATTATCAATAAGTTATTTGCTTAATTTTTTATAACAATAGAGTGACATTACTTTGGGATTTTCATTCATCGTTCATTCGTTTCAATCCATCAACGCAGGCGTCTTGGCAACTACAGTATTTTTTATAGGATAAGGGTGCTGTGGCTCATTTAAATAAATCTAAATCTATCCTCGTTTGCAAATCAAAATGTAGATGCGTTGTCAGCCGTGAGGACTAAAATGCAATGCCTCTTTTTTTAGTAAAAAGGGTCTCCGGTTCTCTACACGCACCATACGAAACACAGCAGCATTAAGCCGCTATTTTACGCTGGTATTCTGTGAGAGCGTGGCCCTTCCCCGGTCGACGGTCGAGCCGACACATTCGTGCTACAACTATACTACTAATATAGCTGTAGCATGTCTCTACCACGTATATCTTTACTATACCTACTTTGGGATTTTCATTTATTATTCATTCATTTCAATCCATTAATTCATAGGCATATGAGCCATAGTTGTCGCGCTTGGCAGGCGGGTTGGCAACTACAGTTTTTTTTATTGTCTTGTTATCAGGAAGATGCTGTCCACCTATTGTTTCAGTTTCCCTCTGTTGTCTCCCATGGAATGATATGACGTGGTGGATTAAATCACATCGCCATTCACAACCATCTTCGCGATTTTGACGGCTCTGTAGCGACGGCTAACTGCCTTAGCAATGAATTGCATCATTTGGGGCCGCAGGTTCGAATCCCGCACGGAACAAGTATTTGTATGGTCTACTAATAATTTTTCTGGGTCTGGATGTTTGTTCTTGTGCAATTTATGTTTGTAAACTGCCTCTATGATATGGAAGAAAATCCTAGTGTGGGAGTAACGATTTTTTTAAAGGATAAAAAAGAAAAAGATAAGGTTTTGCAAATGTTGATTGGTAACCCAACATGATCATATTGAAAATGTAATAGAATAACTATGTAAGTTTTACCTTGGTTCAATTGTGAGGCCGTTAATTTTTATGTTTCTCATGCATCCGATTAGACCTAAATTTGCTGATTTTAGTCCACTGCCTATGACAATTTTATCTTGTAAGTGGAAATCCAAACCTGTTCAAATAAGTTTTAAATATTATAATCATTTTATAAAAAAAAATGAATGCCATTGTATCCGTGGGTACGACACGACATCTGAGTTTACCTTCGATCTTGTTGTTTAAAATTACATTTGGCAGGCGTATCTCTGACTTAAAAACAACAGACTTAAAATTAACGAATTATAACATTACTGAAAATTGACAACAAGGACATTATCAATCTTACTTAAGTTACGGTTAAAGATAGCACCACATTTTTTTATTTATAAGCATGTTGGTAATTTAAAGAAAAGAAAAAAAATATATAACCGACATCAATATTAATAAAATAAGAACATCATCAATGTAGTTGAAGTCAATTAAAATACGTATTATTAAAGATAAACTACTAGTCAGAAAATTTATATGGGACTACATGAGAAGTATCAGCTTTCAAATAAAAAATAATCATCAAAATCAGCTCACCTAGAAAATAATTCTGAGATAACACACATAAAGAATACAGTCGAATTGAGAACCTCCTCCTTTTTTGAAGTCGGTTGATAAAATGAAAAATGAAATACTCTTACCAAACATTTGTGCATGTTTATTGTGATTATCCACAGTTAGTTTTATTCTTCCTTTCCGGTAATCGAGTTCGACTGTGTGCCAGTCATTGCTTACGTTAAATTTAACTGACTTCAACACCGTTACATTCGTTCCGATGTCCGGAACTAATTCAAATCTTATCTCTTCTTTAACCATTCTCACCTAAAATTTTATTCGATTAATTACGTGTCGATCATAACTTACATATTTCATAGTAAAATAGATTTCTTACAAAATCTTTTAAAACCTTCTGCTTCTAGAGGTGTATTAAATATTTTAGTTACGGAATTAATTGTCATTTAAAACCAAATACATTTATATCATAATCACAGCTTCCCACATGTACACTGCTAAACATATGCCTCCCCCATAAATACCACGGTCCTGAGCTGAACGTATCCATCGATTTCCCATATTATGTATTACCAGGTAGTCACACTATTTAGACGGGGGCCACTCTACCCTGTGTTTCCTAATTGTTTTGATGACATTTATCTATTTGTTGTATTTCAATACATTTAACTAACAATGCTTATTTCGTGTCTCATTACGATTATTTTAAATAAAAAACGTTTTCAAATTGAAAAAGTTTGTAAAACTGAGCCACTTGTACTATGCTATCAGCTTGAACGTGTTACTAAGGCTTTATTGCATATTTCTTAAGACGATATCATACATGCACACCGATATTGAATAAAACAGGTTATTTGTATTACATGTCGTAACTTACCTCCCAGTATCCCTGTCCGGTTGTAATTTGACTGTAAGCCAAAACAGCCATATTTTTGCTAGTTTTGAAGTCGAAAATCAAATTGATACTATGGCTTTGATTTAAAGGCCACCATATGTGGGAAGTGGCGAAAGGATAAGTAATAGGTATGACTTCGATATCAATCTCTTCAAATTCAGGATCCAGGACACCGATATAGTGTACTTTGGGGTTATTTTGCTTCAGCTCATACAATATCGATACGTCATTGTAATAAACATATTTCAAGTTTCCCGCGAAATTGTTGAAGGATTTCAATCCTTTCATTTTGTGTAAATCTGGACCACCGCCTATGTAAATTTCTGGGTCAATACAAACGTATCTTGCGTTTCCTGGTACTTCGTATGTTGCCGATACGTCATCAATGTAAACAAATGTGATTTTTTCTTGCAATATAACTGTGAGGTTATGCCATTTATTGTTGTTTACTTTATCCCCTAAATAATCTTCAACGGGACCGTCTCCTAAGTCAATTTGTACGGCAACTTTTTCTTGATGTATTGATAAAGCGATATAATGATTCTTATCATCTATCTGACCACTGGCGTAGAACAAGGCTGAATCATCAAAACGAGTCTGTAAAGGTCATTCGGTTATTTACAAAATAGCTGTGCGAACAAAACCTGCTAAAATGTTTGACATTTAAGTAAGTAATATATTCCATTTATAAAATAGTGTATCTATTTATTTAAATCAATACGTTACTTTAAAGCCTTTTCATTTAGCGTAATATAAATTTAGGAAATATTTGGTTTGTCATGATTTCTTTATGACAGCATACATAATACTTTCGAAGTACTTATTGTAATTTGTTAACTTTGATTACTGTTACGAAAATCACACGCTGCTTTTGATACTAGCATTGAAATATTGCAAATGGATATGGGATATGTAGAATGCTTTTAAATATATAAGTAAACGTGTCACTTTCATTTTTTCGTTCTCTCGTAATCGACTCAAAAAAACTCGACTTATGCGATATTTACGCATTGTTGTCATTACCATTGTAAATCCGTAATAGTTGAAATTGGAAACAGACCTTTTCTAGTAGAAAAACGACTAGTAGCCCTTTCTTAAGTTTGGAACGGTACTGAGTCTCACTTCTGGGAACTTATAATATATATATATTTAAAATTTATTATTATTCATTTCGTATGGTGAGATAGGTCCAGAGACCTATTTTAGTGGTACCGAGGTACACATCTGCTTTTTATTTCTTAATCGAGGATAGATAGTAGATGTTTATAATCCACAGTATTCACTTACCATCAGGTGGACTGTGTTCGTTAGTCACCGCATTTCTATAAAAAAATGTATTATAGAATTTACTAAGGCGATAGATCGATTTGTTTGTTTGTTCCACTTGTCTACCGATACAATGTGAAGGAAGTATTTTCCTAGTATTTTATTACCGACAACTACAAAAATAATGGTTTAGTTAATGTTTTTTAATTTTTTTTAAAAAACATTTAAGTCGTACAATAATAATAGAACATTGGAATAAAATTGATTATAGCCCTAATAGGATCTTAAACAAAATTATAACATGTTTGTAACAAATGATCTGATCTTAAACAAAATTATAACATGTTTGTAACAAACATGTTATAATTTTGTTTAAGATCCTATTAGGGCTATAATCAATTTTATTCCAATGTTCTATTATTATAATATTATTCATACGGATTCACTCTCATAGGATTCGCGCTGGTAAGAGAGGCGACGAAAACCGAAGGGCCAGGCGTTGCCGAGCATTGGTACCAAACATATCCATATTCCAAAAAAAAGAATCAACTCATCTTGGAAATTCTAGTAAAATTCACTCAGCTTAGTAAATCGCTAATCATGGTATAGTCGTGCCTTAAAAAAAGCCACCACCCCATATCATTCAGAGGGTATTGTAATATTTGACAGGTGGAAACTGAATTTGCTTCAGTAGATGCAAAGCAGCATCTTCCTGATAATAATTGAAAGTAATAAAAACTGTGGTTGTATACCCGCCTGCCAAGCGTGGCAGCTACGTCAAATCTTCCCTATGAGGCAATCTATGGGGACGCCTATATAAACTTTTTATAGACCGGTGTCAGTAATACAGTGATAGAAAATAGGCCTACTGTAGGAAACAGTCCACTGACTGTGATGGATTGTAATGATGATAATGATGATGTAAATGCTCATATAATTATTTTTAAATTAAATTAAAATAATAAACATATATTAATTAAATATTTTAATAATAATTAAACAGAATAACGCTATTTTACATTTCTCAAGAGTCACTCTTGTTAGTAGCAGATGGTCAGCGGTAATGGAATGAGTATTTATAATGAAGCCTGTTAATGATATAGCGTAGAAGTTGTAAAATGGAGCACAAACAAAATGAACCTATTAACTCAAAAAGATCCAATCGCCAGTCACCTTAAAAATATGTTGAATTCACCACTTATAAATATTTGGGTTAATAGTTTTAAATAATAAAAACGATTTTAAACAAAGTTTCGGCCTATAAAAAAATTACAAAATATATAAAAAGATCGAAGTGAGATACCGTCAATATCCCTAAAAATAGTTTTTCTGGGTCGGATCCTTTTTGCATAACTACGTTCATTACGAATTAACATGTACATTAAAGTATACATTACGTGTCAGTTTCTGCGGCGAATTTAAAAGTGTGAAAAGATTTTATTACTATCCAACACGCATGTTCACACGTAACAAAGAAGTTGCTTCTAACCTTATTTGTGTTTATGCTTAGCAAAATAATCAATAAATGAGATGCTAATTTTATATTACTATGTTTATCATAATTGTGACTATGTAGCTATGTACGTATAAGGTCAAGTGTTTGTTTAGCGCGCTAAATTACGAACAGGTTGACGGTCGTGATTTGGCCGTACTGGCAACTGAGTTTTTTAATAGAATAAGGGGGATAAACAAGCATACAATCATCAGATGATAAATGGATACTGTGGTCCATGGATATCTACATCTATCCTCGATTAAGAATAAAAATGCAGAATGTCATTTCATTTAATGTGTAGTCTTCGCATAAATATAAGAAATCATTATGCACAATGTCATGTTATCCCTGAGGACTAAGATGGAATACCTCGTTTCTAGTAAAAAGCATTAACCATGCGACCGCGTTTGTTCCGATGTCGAGTCGACACATTCATGCTACAACCATCGTATAGCTTCAGCACGGCTCTACCAACTACCAAACTCTATAAAACGGCTGTTTGTTATAAGTGTATTTGACTAAAACAGTCATATTTTTGTACAAAAGTGGCCACTGTTCCGGGACCTATCGCGCTATAGCTATTAGAAACAAATGCAGTTACACAAAATACAGTCTAATAATGTCCTCCAGATCGCGTTTCGGTCATGACGACTAGTTTTAAGTGCGATTGAACATCTCGGACTACATATTCAATTACTACCAGGTAGGATTGTAATTAAACACTGGCTTATAATAAATTGAAAAAAAAACATTTTGTTTCTTAATGACATGATGATGTTCTCTAGACCGGTTTGGACCACGGAAACATTTTCAAAATCTATTAAATGTCTAAGTTTTAATAGATGAGTAACAGAGCTCTTCTTGTTTGTAACCCAATCAATTAAGTTATCTATTTGTTTCCGAATCTCGGCCGGATCAAGCATTGTTGCGACTAAAAGAAATATTAAACAAAAAGCTAATTTTTTAACCGACTTCAGTAAAAGAAGGAGGTGATCAATTCAACTGTTTTTTTAAAGTGTGTTACATCAGAACATTTTTATAGGTGAATCGATTTTGATGATTATTTTTTTATTTAAAAGCCGGTACGTGTCATGTAGTCCCATATAAATTTGATCAAGATCTGACTAGTAGTTTCTGAGTTATCATCAATAATGCGTATTTAATTGACTTCAATTACATTGATGATGTTGTACAACATTTTTAACTTTACCACTTGTTAAAACTAGGTTTGTCCAATTTGTGCTCGATATATCGCTCTGAAACTGTATCTGGATATGTCCTATATATTATTGTAGAAGCATTATACAGAACACTGCTAGGGGTTGAGACTAGTGAGTGCCTTTGTGTACAGCTGATAAAATTCGATAGCGTTCAAGTAGTTTTCGTGATATGATACCTGTTTAGAAAATATCTTCATCTACACAGAAACAAGGATTATCCTAAAGTATCCAGACCTAAAACAAATAGTATGTTCCTGTACAAATACTGGCTCCAACAGGGAATTAAACCCTCGATCTGTGTAAAATAAAACTTGCATTATCTACTGTTTTATAGTTAATTGCTTCATATTAAAGTATTTTCTTGTTACTGAAGCAGTCTCTGCAACATTTATCTTTTATAAAATTTATTAATAGATAAGATGCAAATATTCGATGTAACTATTGCCAGGTTTCCTTAATTTATCAAATTCTACCATGATAACAGAACTGGTAAAACAAGAAGGTGCTAATTATTAACATAAAAAGTGGATTGAAAGTAAGGAATGCTTTCTGTTGATTTAAATAACGCGTTTAAAAATTTTATTTAACAAACCCATTGCTGACACGGGTCTTCCCAAAGGCTGGTGATACTACAAGACGTGGTACTGAGTCATTTGCATCCACTAATCTCAAGCCTCATCGAATTGTCAATGGTCGTGAAAGTTAAGACCATACTGTCGATGTGAGGGTACAACACGAAGCCCTTTATTCTCTATCTGTTGTTAAATTCCGCAGATGTCCAAATGGAAACATATACCATTCGGTGGAATATTAGATCGTTCATCACTGTATAAAAATTAGATATACAAAATATTCCCAAGAAAATAAACCGAAAAGAACATATTATGTAGTGTCGTTCTGGGACTTATAAATAATGTAAAGGCAACGTTTCAGCTCTTCATTCTATATGCGTGCAGACAATTTGCGTAATATGAGCTTTGGGAATGTAACTGCTTTCGACTTATGTATATGATTATCTTTTATAAAGGCCCTTTTATGCTGTTATCACTCGTGCGTGACTACTATATATAGAGAAAAAGACATTTCATACTCTGTGGAGTTAGATATATTCAGATATATTTTTACGTGGTAGAGCCATGCAACAGCTATATAGTGATTGCAGCACGAATGGGTCGGCTCGTCCGGGGTAGGACCACGCCCTCACAGAATGTCATGGTGAGTGTATGGAACCATGACCCATTTTACTGGAAAGAGACATACTGATATGCCGATTTTGCTCCACTTTTTCAAAACTGGCATCGACTATATCCTATCCTATATATGAGGGCGACCAGAGCGAGTTGCCTCTTTGACATTACAATTTCCGGACTGAAAACTCTTGAATCAACTCTGTGCTACTCATACTGACACTGCATTAGGTCCATAAAAGTCACAATTTTTTTTTCGCAGCTAGAGTCGTATTTTCCCTTTTTTGTAAAATATTAAAATTCAGAATGTATCGAATTTCTTCGTTAGGTTGAATCATTTTGGCGGTCAGAAAAACAATTGAAAAGTGGCGGGAAAGTGTTTTTTCTTCTTTTTTTCTTTTCTTAATGTCCTTTATGTGTTAATACCAAAATCAGCCAGATACAAACAGTACAACCAAAGAGATTTTTCTTTAGTTTTATACAAACAAAGTAAGGAGAAACTTTTTCCCGGCCTTTTATAATAAAGTGGTGTACGTTACCGTTAGAATGCGGAATGCATTAATGTACGCATTAGCTAGATACGAGTAATCTGCAGATTATCGGGTGCGATCCGTTTATGTGCGAAGTTTTACTTAAAGTAGAAAATATCTGCACTTTACCTAGTAAATGTGCATATTAACGGATGATATTGCGAGGTTTGACCGATAGTCTGAACTTTAAATTAGGCACAACCACTTTTGATTAAGAACGTTGCTCAAAACCACTTTAGACTTGAATTTGACAATGAATGCAAATGTTTTACATTAACAAAAAAACAATTTTATTTACTTATCACTTATTTACTTAAATGCTTAGGCGTTATTACACAGATTACCTAGGAAGTCTGCAGTTTAACTAGTTAAGACCTAAATAATTATTTCATTTTTAAGAGAGTCAGATCGATTTATGCACAGATTTTTTTTATAGGATAGAGTGACAAACGAGCACACAGTCCACCTGATGGTAAGTGCTTGCTGTGGCTCATAGACATCTTCATCTATCGTCCATTACGATCAAAATGCAGATGCCTTGTCACCCGTGAGGACTAAGATGGAATCCAGTAAAAAGGGTCTCCGGTTCTCTACACTCACCATACGAAACACAGTACTGTTAAGCTGCTATTTTACGCTGGTATTCTGTGAGAGCGTGGTCCTACCCCAGTTGAGCCGACCTATTCGTGCTACAACTATACTACTAATATAGCTGCAGCATGGCTCTACCACGTATGAATTATATTCATTCATTAATTACCTATCAAATCTCTACTGCTGAACCCAATCTTTCTAGCAATCATTATAACCATTAAATACTATTTGGATGATAGAAAACCAATAAATAAAGTGATCGGTTAAAAGATAACCTGTCTAAATATATTACGGTTTACTGAATTACTTAAAAAAAAAACGCTTCTCCAACACCAAGAATTTTCTCCTGCACGAAGAGTTTCACCTACCATAAATTTAACATTGACAAACATTCAGAACCGAACAATTATTTGTTGGTTATTGGCATAAATGTTTCTGAATAAGGTCGAACCAGGTTACACTAACAGGTAGGTGGTGAGAGCAGAATCACCAGTGCGATGCTGCGAGGATACCGGTTTTGCACTCACCCACATGCCTGCCCATAGAGCGGAGTATCATTATCGTCATCACTGCCCATCACAAGTTCACAAGTCCTCTGCTGAACAAACCTCCACAATTAATGCTGTAAAATACGGTCCTGAACGAAAATGCGCTTCTCTTTTCGATAACGCATTCTTGGAATGTCTATTGACCGAATGCTCAAATGCTACTGAATTTTAAGATGTCGTTAAGTCTTGTGGTGTCACAGTCACTTTGACTTAAAGTGATAGAAACAGCACGAGATTTAACGACATCTTAAAATTGAGTAGCATGTGTATATTTGGACTTAGTAGAATAACATGGACTAAGAAGTTTTTTTTTTACTTTGAAGGCACTTATAAGTAGCCGGTACAGATTGTATTTGTAAGCTAAAACTTTATGCCAAATTCCGATTCCTTTTAAATTTCGAACTGGGCGTCGCCATGTAATTGCATTACGTGACAACTGTTAAAAACAAAAACCTTTTACCTTAAAGTGCAGACTGACCCGCGTGTTGGTGGAGTGGACCCGGTCTTTCCAATCGTAAACACGATAAGACACGTAACTTGAACCTCGAAGCGTCAAAACTGTCGCCGCTGCAATAATAAATGATGACGTAATCGAAAATTTTTAAAACGCTTACAATTATTTGTGAAAGTGATCGAAGGAGGCTAAGGATGTCAGTCCAATAAGGCAAGCGAGAAATTCTGTATTAAAAGATAATCGAATTATTAAGTTTTGTTAACTCGTATTCGATAACATGAAACAATTTCTTTTAAAAATAACCTAACTTATGTTTTTTTTTATAGGATAGGGTGACAAAGGAGCACACAGTCCACCCGATGGAAAGTGGTTGCTGTGACCCATAGACATCTACATTTATCCTTAATAAAGAATCAAAATGCAGATGCGTCGGCACCCGTGAGGACTGAGAGGGAATGCCTCTTTTCCAATAAAATGGGTCTCCGGTTCTCTACACTCACCATACGAAACACAGCAGTGTCAAGCTGCCATTTTACACTGGTATTCTGTGAGAGCGTGGTCCTTCCCCGGTCGAGTCGACCCATTCGTGCTACAACTAAACTACTAATATAGCTGCAGCATGACTCTACCACGAATAAATGTGTAGCTGTGTAGTGGCAGTGTAAGAATATTCACTATCTACTAGGTGACGAAACAAACTGGAAGATGGGTTAGCAGCGTCTCGCCTACCAAGCATCGCGACATATAATTCAATCTATAGGGAAGCAAAGTTCAGCAGTGGACCTTTTATAGACAAGATCTGGGTGCAAGATCTGGTAGTCAACTACTGGCTGTATAGAATAGAATAGAATAAAATGATTTTTAATTTCATATTGATTATTACATAATATTTATTGAAAGTCATTTTTTAAATTAGGAAAATACCTCTGTCCTGGGAAGATCCAGCAAGAAACTCCGTGGAACTTTTTTTAACATATTTTATTTTATTTAAAACGTTACCTCCACACTATTATCATCTCCTGTATCGTGGGGGCAGTTTATGTACACAAATTTCACAAGGACAAACATCCAGACCCGGAACAATTATTTGTAGGCCATACAAATACTTGTTTCGTGCGGGATTCAAACCTGCGGCCATCAGCGCTGCAACTCATTGCTAAGCCACTGCACCACGGGGCCGTCATATTTCACTTTACAATAAATTTGTTGGTACAATTTCTAAATGAATTTTTATAGAACCAGCATGGTGGCGATCGCCTCATTTCCAGAGGTTATTTTCATTTATATATTCCATATAAGAATGTAAGAATGCTCGTAGTGACTCAGCGAGGTTTCGTGTTTACTTGATAATAGGTACGTGTGCAGTTCAGTCAAGTGGTGATGAAGGCGGGATAAGTTAGAATTGTCGTTTAAAGATAATATAGATTTCTGCAGAAAAATCAAAGGGATTGTTAGAAATAGTAGAATGAAGAAATTATGGAAAACGGGAATGAAATGTTTGCGCGCCTTGGCTTTTATACATATGGTAAGGCGATGGATGCAGTTGCTTTAGTCCGTGTTTTGAGGCTACCATACCTGCCGTGCCGTACTGTACTAGGCAAGTTTCTGGGCAAGGCAATATTTATGAATGAATGAATGAATATACTTTATTGTACACGACAAACTAATAAACAAATCACATAACAACAAAATTAAATGTACAATTTGGCGGCCTTATCGCTACATAGCGATCTCTTCCAGGCAACCAAGGGTGTAAAGGAATAAACAATGAATACTGGGTAGGTGGTGCAATATAATTATACAAAATATAATATCAATACATGCGATATATAGATAATAAATGCAATAAAATAACATATAAATAACTAACACGTGAAATGATATAAATTACTAATACATAATAAAAGATAAAGTAAAGCATATAATATATACATAAACATACATATATAAGAGTATATAAACAAACTTACATATCTACCCAAAATACATAAATAAATTACAAATTTCCTCATATCATATTTAGTAGTGGTCTAAAGTATATGTACGTGTTATAGTAAACAACTTGCGACGTTACATTTTTACCCGACTGCCTCACAACGAGGGTAATGTTTGTAAGTCTATTTCTTTGGCACGCTCTGTAGTCTAAACGGCTTGATGTTTCATAACATATGGGGTGATGTTAGAATCGTCTTAGTTGTAAAAGTGACATAAGATATAAAACCTTTTTACGCAGTCCGTTTTTTTAAAATTACTGTTTTAATTTTAACCTGATGAGTATTTCATTAGGTTAGGTAAAGTTAATGCCCGTTAATTATAGCGAATAACTAACAGACGTAACAACGTATATAAAAACTTAACGAGTTGTCTGGCGGCGTTTTGGTCGATTAGATCTTTTAAGAAGGTTTATTATCTATATTTTTTTGCTGCAATTTTTAATAAATATTTTATCATTCATTCATAATACTCTATCAAAGTCCACTAATAAACGTAGACCTCCTTATTGATTGCCTTATAAGGGGGTTATTTGCTACAGTTGGCATGCTTGGCAGGTGGGTTGGCGCTTACAGGTTTTTATTTTCCTGTAGTCATTATAAAGATGCTGCTGCCCATAAGATGAGCACTTTCTCTTTATCGCCTCTTACGACATCCACAGGAAGATATGAGTAAGTGGATATTTTAACACTGTCACTATAATGTATATATTTATATATTTTCCCTAGTTTTAAGTTAAGGATAATACAACAGAATAAATAATAGTACTACGTAATAATACGAAAATCGCGAAATGATAATACCCTTATTCCTTATATTTGGCATATAATTTATCTTATTTATTTATTTTATTTATTAACTCAATATAGTCTACAGTTGTGAAGATAAAAGTTTCTTAAAATTAAATGATTAAGTACTAAACTGTAAGCCAAAACATGTGTTTATGAAGTAAATTATAAAGAGTTACATCTTGCAAACAACCATACGTCATCAGCAGATTACAAGAGGTCTGTTACAGATTTAAAGTTAGAACAAAGGTATATAAGTATAAGTATATAAATGAGGCCAATTATTTCAGTTATTTCAGAATATCACGGAGAGATGTATTGAAGACATTTGGATTTGAACCTAGAATATTTGGATGGTCCTGATATATCATTATTATATTATAATTATTTTATAATGTATCAATTTGATGTGTTCTAATTTTCCTACTTCATCAGCTCATAAAAGCCAACTGATAGACATGGGCCTCTCCCACTGCAGATAGAATTTAGCTTAATCGTTACTGTTTCCAGTAGGAATATCGATCGAAGTACCAGTTGTTTCACAACGTTGACGTTACTTCCCGTCGCCGATTTGGATATTTATTAGAATCAGGCGCAAAGTAGCCAACCTTTCGGTTTTTACAGGATGCATTTCGGAGATTATGCACAGGAATTGCATAATTTATTTCCTCCCTCTCCTTTCCACTATCGGTCAACCAGACGTTCGGCCAGTCTTAACCCTTTCGTTGTTGACTTACCACCCATTCAAACCAAACGGTTTGCTTCATCGTTCGTCATGCGTGCAGCAATGGAGTGGAATACGTTGCCAGCATCTGTCTTTCCATACGATTACAATGTGGGTGTGTTCAAAGCAAGAGTGAATAGGTTTTTGTTAAATCAGTGCGCTTCACCATCTTAGGCTACATCACCACTTACAATCAGGTCGGTTTGTAGCTAAGCGATGGCTTAGACTAGTAAAAAAAAAACATAAGATCTTTGTGGTATATCCCATAGCAGTCACCTCTAACAACACCTTCAGCCAACATGGAGTGATCAAAAGTGACACGGCGTATAACTCGTATCTGTGTCCTACTGAACAGCAGATATTTTCTAAAATTAAAAATTTCCGATTTTTAAATCATTAATGTTAAAGCAAGTAAATACAGAGTTCTCTTGTTTCAACATTATTAATTACAATAACCCTCACATATTTTATGTTACAGCGTTTTTTTTATTCCAAAAAGTTAGTACTTTGAATATACTGCCATGTTTTATAGGAGCGTAAAAATTTTGGTAGTCCATTTGCTCCGTGAAATTGCTAACAAAGAAAAATATTTGATGTAAGTACAATTTCGTGTTGTTTGTGTAACAAAATTTGATATCATAATTTTGGAAACATATATAATGGTGTTTTACGAAGTTTTAAATTAGTTATATCTAATGTTTGTTTTACATTTCGTAATTGTGATTGTGACTTTTAACAGTGGTAGAGCCAGGCGGCAGCTTTTGCTGTCGCACGGATGGGCCGGCTCGAACCGGGGTGGTACCACGACCTCACAGAATACCAGCGTGAAGTAGAGGTTTACCTCTGCGTTTCGCTTGGTGAGTGCAGGTGGCCGGAGGCCCTTTTTACTGGAAATGAGGCATTCCATCTTGGTCCTCACGGGTGACAACGCATCTGCATTTGGATTTGTAATAGAGGATAGATGTAGATGTCTATGGGCCACAGCAACCACTTACCATTAGGTGGACTCGTTTGTCATCCTTATCCTATAAAAAAAATTATAATATAATTAAAGTTGGAAAAATTTACTTTGCCGATATCCGCTCAATAAAATAAAATGATGTGTCTTACTTAGTTTGAAGAGCACCTTCCCCTCTCCCTCAATTGTGTGTACTATCCCCGTCACCACTAATCCCAGCACCACTAATCGCACCACCACTACCCTAGGAAAGACCACCGATGATAATACGACACGTGTTTCGCCTCTAAACGAGTAATTTTCAGGTGTATTAGACTCTGTAATTTCTGACCGATCTTAAACCTTGAAGTAAATTTTTCCAACTTTAAAATTATAAAAAAGTATGAAATCACTTTCAGTGAAAGTTTACAAATATTTTTAGTATTTTTATAACTCTGACTTGAAAACTTGAAAATTACATAGCGGATTGTAATTATACAAACAAGCATATTTTTCTTAAATGTTTTGTAATTTTACCGAACCGTTGAAAGACAATCACGAATTCGATTCGCGGTGACACGTGCTGTTTCACTATTCATATTGTTTAAAATTTTTGAAAATTGCTGTTTTTAGTCAATCGAAAACTAGCCAAGAATTTTATTATGTCACTGTTAATAACTTATAACTTTAATTATTTTCAAATTTATTCAGTTTTTTTTAATTCAACTTTTTATGAAAGTATTAAACTTTAATATAATGGATTTCGGCAAAGTAACGCTTGATTCTATTAATTATCTTATAATGTAATTATAATTATACGAATGTTTAAGTCTAATTTTATCTTAAAGACTAACAATTAAGTTAAAGAAAATAGTCATCATTTGGATTGCGCGCTCTTCAACTCGCCTGCCCAGTATGGTACAAGAAAATATTTTAAGGAAAAGGGGGTCATATTGCACATTCTTGATAGAAAACATATATTTACGAATGATGAACTTAAGACTGGCAATAAGAAGAAAAAGAAAATCATACATACAAACACTTTGATGCCTGCCGCCGAGAGCGGTAGGCGGAGACTACGGGCTTCGTTTTGCAGGATCGTGACATACTTCACTCGCTTATTTCACATCCATATATCAATGCTTATATGTTAATTGTAATAAGGAATACACACAGCTAATAATATTAATACCAGTATCATTATAGCCTATCAAAAGTCCACTGCTGAATATAGGCCATATAGATTAGATTGTCTCACCGGGAGGGGGGGGAGGGAATGCCATAGTAGCCACGCTTACCAACCGGGTTGGCAACTCCAGTTTTTTTTTATTTAACTTTTAAAAGGAAGATGCTGCTGCCAATCTCTGTTAAGATATAAGAGAATAAGTGGAGTCTTAAAATAGATTTTATTTATTATTATTTTTAATCTTTATTCAACCTTAAAAACAGTACAAGATCAAAAAACGGAATTAATGTTAAAACAGAGAATACTAAGTCCAACTAAGGGCAGTGTTACCTATCAATACGAAGGTGGTTACAGAGAAAAGAAACCTAAGCATTTTATTTATTACATTTCTTTTACATTTAAAGAAAAGTAAACATATACATAAACACAAATATATAAATATATGTAATATAAAACAAATTATAATAATAAAGCGATTATACGAAGATAGAGATAACTGCAATGATGACGGAGCTTAGCAGTTTTGAACCATTTTTAGAAAATTTTGTTTCAATGTTGATCGTCATTGCCGATTCTTCTTCGAAATGCAAAAAAGTAAATACAAAGTAAAAACCTACGAAAACCTTTTTTGAGAGGGTTATAGTTATCAAACGTGGTTAACCTCGTTTATTATAAAATGTAGACTAAAGTAACAAAAAGTGTTAGTTCTTAATTTTAAATGATATAATCGGATTACTTCAGTAAGTTTAAGCGGCAATGGGCAAGCGATATAGCTTAAAGAATCGACAACCGGTATGGGTAAGAAAGGTTTTCGAGTGGCAGTCTCGTACTGGTAAGTGGTAAGACATGCAGAAAGTTGTCGGATGCAGTTGTTTGAGGACCATGTTTTGTGATGTTGCTTGGGAGAGGCACATGTTCAGCTGAAGACTTGTCACGGGCTGTAATAATGATGATGATTATGATGATTATATATTAATAAGGTATATAATATACTTACTGTAAACATCACAAAGTTGCTCTTCATATAAAGTACCGAAACAATCGCATCTGTATCCATTATATTCGTTAATACATCTAGAACCTTCGAAACACAAATTTTCTACAGTTCGGCATTTGTCTATACAACCTTCCTTGACGTTCTCATGTTTTGTAGCAATCAGTGGTACAATGGGGAGGAGGTCCGATGCAGCTTTTCCCGAACTTAAAACCATGTCGCTAATACAACCAACGAATGATTCTATAATGTATTTAACCCCATGGAGTTTCTCTTCAGAGCTCAGTCCTGATAATAATATATTTATTTTACATTACATACATATTAAAACACTATATTCATATTATTATACATTATATATTAGTTATTATACAATATTATACATTAATATTGTATAGTAACTAAGCGATCTATACAACTTAGGCCCTTATAACTTAGGGCTCTATATCTTTTTACTTTAATATTAATTTCTTTTTATTTTAATGTAATATTTTATTTTAGAGCCGGGCGGCATTAGAGGTAGCTGAACTAAGTAAATGGCGCCAATATGAGTCTCTGAGAGATGCCTATATATTTGTGCCATTTGTTGTGGAGACTATTGGCTACTACTACTGACTATTGTTGTGGGGTCCACGTGCAGTAAAAATCTTAAAGGAAATGTATCCGCGACTGGTCGTCGCTGCTGGTGAAAAGAGGGTTGATTCTTTTCTCGCCCAAAGGCTAGTAAAGCCATTCAGCGAGAAAACGCAGCCAACGTTCCGCGGGGAATAGAACTGTATGATAATTAAAGTTTTAGGTTTAGTTTTTTAATTATGGTAATAAATATTGTATATATTTGAATGATATGTTAATAAATGAATTTTATATTTAGAGACTATCGGTCCGTGGGGTCCACGTGCGGTGAAGTTCCTAAAGGAACTCCATCCGCAGCTGGTCGTTGCTGCTGGTGATAAGAGGGCTGGTTCTTTCCTCGCTCAAAGACTAAGTATAGCCATTCAGCGGGGAAACGCAGCCAGCGTTCTTGGCACGATAACGCGGGGAGTAGGACTATATGATAATTAAGTTTCTAGTTTTAGTTTTTTTTTATATATGATATTAGTATGATAATAGTTTTTAATATTGTAAATAAAAAAAAATTTTAATAGGTATGATTTTAAAACTCATTGAAAATATCCAAATAAACTTACCTCCAATTAGAATAACTGAAGTCAAATTGTCCGTAATGCCGTAATTGGTATCGAAACTCAAACCCTGAGCAGTAAAACAAAGTTTACATTATTTTAAACTTGAAATACAAATATAAATTATACATAATTAATACTATTTGAGAAATATCCCTTAGTTATTTTATTCCTTGCTTCCAATTTACTTTTCAAAACTGGTTTATTTTCTACAAAATAATAATTGGGTTTAAAATATCTCTACAATGAATATCGAAAATTATAAAGTAGAGCGCTTACAATGTATATTGCTGTTAGTTTAGATTTTTACAATTTACCAATGAAAATTTAATTAAATGATGCATGTTGGCGGATTCCATGTATCTCCGAAAATGATTTAGTTTTTTTTTAAATCGTTAAATTGCTATTACTAATGTTAGTGAGTGCTTTTAGATTTCGATAATTAATAAGATTTTTAATTTATTATTTAAAGAAACAAAAACCAGTTATTGAGTTTTCCGTCAAGAAATTCTCAGTAGCTCCCCGGAGGCAGGAAGCTGGCGGTGTCTCACCCTCGGGAAGCGTCTAAAACCGTTGGTCCTGGGCCTCATCTCGCTCCGGTCGTGTTAGTTTACCGTCCCATCGGACTATGAGAATGAGGGAATGGAGAGTGCACCTGTGCTCGCGCATACACTTGGGCACTATAATCCTGTCCTGCGCCGATGGCTAGTCTCCGTTGAGGCTGGCTGCCGTGACCGTGATTCGGTCTGGAGGACATTATTATTTAAAGAAACTTGTTTTAGATTCTGTTATTCATCATTTTCTCATTCATATGCAGTACATAATTTTTCTGAAGTGACAATGGGCCGGCCATGTAAGTCGAAGAACTGACAACCGGTATGGAAGAAAGGTTCTTGAGTGGCAACCTCGTACCTGTAAGCCAAGTTTAGTACGGACTTCCACTAGAGTGCGATCTGGTAAGCGATGCAGGAGCTCGATGGATAAGGGTGACATAATGTTCGTCCTTTTTAGTTGACTTGTACGATATATATGTGATATGTTATACGTAATGACTTGTATGTACTTATTCAATATAGACTATTATGAACATGGAATTTTTTTGACGATCATCATGACCATTAAAACGATCTAGGGGTCAGGAATTTTTCACATATAGAAGTGATTTCCGCTATATTGATTCTCCATCACACTATTTTGTTCCGTGAGTATATGAGGCGACTATGAGAAAGGCCAGAGAGACGTCATCGCTTTTAATAAGTCGCAATCAAAATGCGTGATATCGGGGATTGTTATGGCAAATCTTCCTGCCAAGATTAACAGTGCTGTACTGATGCAAACAGAAGAAAAAGAAGCAAAAGAAGTGATTTCTCCATAGTACGCTGATCGACGTTGAGCCTCATACAACCAACAGAAAGAACTACGTCTCAGATCCTTAATTCATCACTGCCTAGGCAGTTTTGAGGTATTCGTGACGAAGTTGGTCGTCGATTGACCTCTCGGTCGAAGTTGGGTTTACTTAGTAGCACAATTAGTCTTAGGTAAACTCGTCAAATACTCGTCAAAAACTTCGAATGTACTGCTCCCAACAACTACTACTAGGTTTGATACGGACGTTATAATCTTTGTTTAGTCAATTTCATAACGAATATGCTTTTAAAACTTACCTTCAAGTAAACCTCTTCTTTGAGTTGGTCAACTTTAGCTATCAGTCTTGCACCATGCACGTCAATGGTGACAACCACACTATGCCACTGATCTCTGTTCAGGGCCCGTCCTACTGTTACTGATGTAAGATGTTTGCCAAAAACGTGGACAACTGGAATTCGTAATAAAGTTCTTAATATTTATTTTTTGTCTTTCTTAGTTGTATGCTGTAAATTCTTTTACGTGGTACAGTCACGTTGTAGCTGTATTATGTATTAAAATTGAGTCGGCTCGACTACAGTTCAGAAGACTAAATACTAGGGTAATATAGTAGCATGGCCTTGTTGCGTTCCGAATCATCATCATATCGGTTCCATGTTATTTCTCAGTGATGATAAAGCATTTGCATTATGATTCTTAATGGAGTACAGGTGTCAAATACATATATGTTTATGCATAATACACTACCATATACACTTATTTTTTATGGAATATGGGTGACAAACGAGCACACAGTTTATCTGATGGTAAGTGGAAGCTGTGGCCCATAGACATTTACATTTATCCTCGATTAAGAATCAAAATGCAGATGCGTTGTCACTCCTGAGGACTAAGATGGAGTGCCTCATTTCCAGTAAAAAGGATCTCCGGTTTCAGCATCAAGCTGCTATTTTACGCTTGTGTTCTGTGAGAGTGTGGTCTTACCCCGGTCGAGGCGACCCATTCGTGCTAAAAACATAATATAGCTGCAGCTTGGCTCTACCACGTACTGAAATTTTTTGTTCCTTTACATTTTGTAACAAAAATATAATATAAATCCAAAGCTTACATCACCTAGCGGTACGACTTAGTGTGCATTATAACATAAATCATGATAATTTAATAATGACAGTAATAGCACATACTAAGTCCAGGTACCAGGATTTCTGGAAGAAACTTAAGTATGAAATAACCAGTGTCTTGGTATATGTGTGAATTAATAAAAAAATATTTCAGTGTCAATGTTATTCTGTAAAATTTATTTTCTGTATTCTAAATTCAAATTTAAAGAAGTATTTTGGCGGGAACTTGACCGCCAGCGGATTGTTGCTTCTGTATTATCGTTTCATTAATGGTTTCAAGTGAATTTTGATACGAGTACGTATAAGTGGTGCAATTTTGTGTATTAAATATCTGCGCATATAAACTATTAGTGGAAACAATATTACAACTACTTGATTTTTCTATTCGCTTGGGTGACTTACAATACTATCTTCATCAACTTCGAGCTATCGCCAGTATCCCCTTAATTTTTGCAATATGGTATATCATTATAATGTGAAGTATTTTGTGTTTTGTGGCATTACTTGTGGGAGGCCTATATTCAGCAGTGTATTTGTAAAGGGCTGTAATGGAAAGATGGGTATTATCTTAACATGCATTTAGGCACTGGTAACGAGGGACTTCATGTAAGTACCCATGGGTGACAACTAATTCTTAACTGAGAATAAATGTAGATATTCATAGGCCACAGCATCCACTCACTATCACGTGGACTGCTTTCTTCTATAAACTAATAAAAGTGTAGTAAACTTTCATCAAATTGTTTAAAAATTATTGCTATTGACGAATTTTCATTGCAATAATAAGGAATTCATACCTTTTAACTCTCCTTTCTCCACGATAACATACAAAGCGTAAGGCTGCATTTTAAAAACTGGATTCTTTACGTTGTGGTATACTAAGAGACCATGAGGCAATCTTGTTCGAAACTTGAATGATATTTCTCTGCATAACCTGAAAGGTAATGTTTATTATAATTCAAGTATTTTAGAGGTAGCACTTAAAGAAAATCTCAAAGGTCGAGTCTAACGTCATAATAATTGAGTTTATTATTGAACAGGGATTTGAAATAATTCCACGTTAAAATGTGCGATTATAGTGGCAGTGCGAAGTTAATTCACACATTTAAGTGGTTTGATCTTGCTATTGCCCCGTTGCGTACGTTCATGTAGTTATCACATACTACACTCATCTCAAAGTTTTAAATTCAAATAAGTGTTAATATAGAATCTTAACTGGATTCAGGACATATAAAAAATATTATTATGCAGCTGTAGTGGCTTATCAATGAGTTCCAGCGCTGGGGACCGCGGGTTCGAATCCCACACGGAACAAGTATTTGTATGGCCTACAAATAATTGGTCCGGGTTTGGATGTTTGTCCTTTTGCAATTTATGTTTGTAAACTGCCTCCACAATACAGGCGAAAATCCTAGTGTGGGGTAACGTTTTTATATTTTTAATTAAAAAAAAATTATTACTATCGAAGATAGATGTAGATCTTTATAGGCCAAAGCATCCACTTACCATCAGGTGGACTGTGTACTTACTTGTAATCCTTTTTCTATAAAAAAACTGCACTTACCAATGCACTTGCCAAGCGTGGCTACAATGGCAAATAATCTTGTGAGATAATCTATAAAGGAGGCCTTTGATCAGCCACAAATTTGTTGTCACCCCTGACGAATAAGATGAAATGCCTCATTTACAGTAAAAATGGTCTTAAAGTTTAGAGTTTATTATTGTTATTGCGTTGTTATTAAGAAGATGCTGTGGCACTTTCCAGCATTGCCAGCATAGTGCGACACTGCTGTTATACATTTTTGTATGGTTATAAACAATCTAGGTTCATGTGCAATTTATGTATGCACAAATCCTTCACAATATAACAGAAATAGATGTGTGTCTATATGCAGTATCTAACATGGGGACAACGTTAAGGCGGGGTGTTCCAAGCGCATTAGGTATTTTCAAGCGGTCGTCGCAAAGATCGTGATGGGCCGCGAATATAATCGTGATTTTTACAAAGTAATCAAAAAATGTTGTTTCAAAGTTATAAATAAATATTTACACAATGAGAAATAAACACACAAACAAAAGTTTAACTAAAGTCTATATAAGTTCCATTAAGCTATAGTTATTTACAATTTATTTTATTTCCAAAATATTTTTTACGTAGCAGAAGAGAAATGCGCGCGTAAAAATCTGGCGCAGATCCTTACTTCGGCAACATTGCGCGGGACACTGGCAAGTGACGTGCGGTTTTCAAAATCACTTCAATAATCGATTTTTTTTTTAAAAATAAACGTAATTAAAAAAGAAACGATCGTGTGAAATTGATTCCAAAATGAGTTAACCATATACAAATTGATATTTTTTTGTAGAAAAAAAGTAGTGGTAGAACTTGTTTAAAATGAAATTTGGTTTGTAAAAAACTGCAAATCGAACGTAGTTCGGTAATTTTTTCTGTCAAGAAAATTGTATTGTATCGTTTATTGACCGAGTAAATCGTAAGAAGAAAGAATGTATCTAAAATATTTTTTGTCAGATTCTAAATGGCTATCAAAAACCAATTTTAAAACGGACAAAAACAGAAACACCCAGCGAAAGAAATTAGAAGACAGGAACTCACCTCAGCTGAAATCTTTGAATTATATCTCCATCTAATTGTATAAAAGTATTGTCTTTTGCGAACATGAAGGTCTGATGGTGGCCAGACTCTGCGAAAGTCAAGAAGCGGTCTCTATCACTAGGGGGTATCGGAGGTATGATGGTAGCGTATGTCGAGGTAGAAATATTAGCGGTTGTTACACTCGGTGTTGTCGATGATAGTTGTAAGGTTGTTTGTGGCAATGCTAAAAAAATAATAGAATTAAGAATTAGCGTTGGTGGTATCGGATTTTTTTATCTGTCTATCTGATGGAAATTGTATTTAATTCAAAAATTCAATAAAGATTTGGTTCAGAAATCACGTGGTAGATCCATGCTGCAGCTATATTAATAGTATAGTTGTAGCACGAATGGGTCGGCTCGACCGGCGAAGGACCACGCACTCACAGAATACCAGCGTAAAATAGCAGCTTAATGCTGCTTGTTTCATATGGTGAGTGTAGAGAAGCGGAGACCCTTTTTACTGGAAAGGAGGCATTCTATCTTAGTCATCACGGCTGACAACACATCTGAATTTTAATTCGCAAACGAAGATAGATGTGGGATGTCTATGGGCCACAGCAACCGCTTACCATCAGGTGGACTGTGTGCTCCTTTGTCACCTTTATTCTATAAAAAATAAGTTTCTTGCAGGTAAAACTAACGTGCATTCTATTATCCGTACTCGTAGACTTAGAAATTCTAAGTCTATGTTCGTACTGCATATTGTACACACATTCAATAGAACCGAGTGAAAATTTGAAGCCAAATAGTTTTCGGTACTCATTTACTGTGTGAACACAGATGACCTGTGGACCTCTCTCGTTGCCCGTTGTAGGAAGGACCTTGATCGTATTGCTAGGCAGGTTTTTTAAAATAATAGAATAAGGGTGACAAACCAGCAAAGTGGTGGATTGACGATTTCACTACCAGACGGCTCTGAATTTTACATTAGTCTATGGATAAACCGCCATCTATCGGAAGCTATAAGAGTTTGTGGCATTCCCCACAGTCACCTTTTACGAAAAACATTCACTGAAATGGAGGATTCCCTTACGCCATCACCACATGGCAAATTCTAAATTAATGTTTATGTTACATTTAGCAGTTTTATTTAATTAAAAAATAAGTAATTTTATTAGAAGCATTTTTTAAGTCGCATTATTATTTACAGATCAACACTAAAAATTACACTTTGTACATAAAAGTATAGAAGTAAAGTTACAGGCTTTATACGTTCCACTATACTACCACTACAGACAATAGACTTCCTGCATACACTGCCACTGATTTTGCCATAGTTGCCACACTTACCAGGCGGATGAGTAATCGCAGTTATTACTTTTGTGTTATTACTTTGAGTTGTTATGAGATTCTGCTGCCCATCTTTTATTTTAGTTTCTTCTATCGTCTCTTTTGACAGCCACGGGACGATATCTTCTACATGGTTTTCATTTAATTTCAGTAAATTTGATTCCTCTCTTAATTTCGATATTTGTAAATAAAATAGTGAGAAAATGGATAGATCAAATTATACCTTTGTCTTCGGATGCCAAATCCACCGGCAAACTGCTTTCAACATCAGCTGTTCCACAAAATATCATAATTGCAATTAAGTTTATCCTTCTTCTGTGCCACGTCACTTCCATTCTGCTCGATTAATGTCATTTATCTGTAATTAAAAATGTAATATAAAAATATAAGCTTCACTATTATTCCACTCTTGAAAAATGATTTATTAACTTTACAAATAACTTAATATTAAACTTCTAGTAAAAATGAATTTCAATATTTTGCGACTCACGACTTCCGATCAGCTGCAATATTGAGATTTAACTGACTTTTGTATAATGGCGATGTAAGAATATCCACTACCCCATATCGTCCCGTGGGTGTCGTAAGAGGCGATAGAGGGAAACGGGAGATGGGCAGCAGCATCTTCCTGATAATGACTCAAAATAATAAAAAACAGCGGTTGCCCACACCCCTGTCAAGCGTGGCAACTATGGCAAAATCCTTTGCCATAGTTAATATTTCATACCATAATTGCCTTATCTTATATAAAAATTACGTCTCACGTTGTTTGTCCGCGATGGACTTCTAAACTACTGAACTGATTTCAATGAAATTTTGCACACTGTGTGCATTTTGGTCCAAATTATATAGATAGTTTGTTAGTTGGATAGTTTTTATCCCGATAAATTACCCTCAAAAATTTTTATTGCGATTTTAAGGATTTTTATAGGAAGGGTCGTTGGAAAGGGCAGAATAACGTCTGATTGGCGCGTTAGTATTTCTATAAAATATAAGGCAATCTATAGGAGAGGCCTACGTTCAGTAGTGGACTGAGTAAGTTATAAGATGTAATGCATGGCTGGAAATGAATTTTGTACATTACTTACATGATAGAGCCATGCTGCTGATATATTATGGTTGTAGCACGAATGGATCGGCTCGACCGGGGTAGGACCATGCTCTCAAATAATACCAACGTAAAATAGCAGTTATGGTGCTGTGTTTTGTATGGTGAGTGTAGATATCCGGGGACATAAATAAGCTAACATAAACTGTGTAAGAACTTGCCAATGTCCTCATCATCATCACCATTAGAGCCCTTCACAAGTCCACTGCTGAACATAGGCCTTTCCCAAGGAATGCCACAAAGCACGGTCCTGAGCCATCTGCGTACATCGACTTCTCCTACATGTTTTATCGGGCCACTCCATTTAGTGGGGGGTTGCTCTACACTTCACCTACCGGTACGATATGATACTCGTATATCTTAATCCTTATTAATTATTAGACTTAAACTACATTAGTATAAGGGATAATTTAGGAAGGAACTGTTTAATTTTTTTAAATATATTTTTAATTTTATTTAATTTATATTCTTTACTCGGTGAAACATTATTCTTGATATTGCTTTTACAAAAAAAGACAATATCATGTTCAAGCAATATCTGACTGCAAAAGTCACAAGTTAAAGTCGTATGAATATAAATTTTTATAAAGAGAGCAATTTCTTTTAAAAATCTATTTCCTTTGCTACTAGAGAGGACATCGGTTTGCTGATAGAATCTCAACCTTCGATTGAAAGTTTTAGGGTACAAAATGTATTAACATTCGCAATCGCATAGGGCACTGAGCGGAAACATGGAATCAGAGTTATACACACGTAAGTGTTGGACAGCTAAACGGCCAGTGTAACTTGGTCTGTCCCGTTGATGAGTTTTCTTCTGCAATTCGGTAACAGAGTTTTATTTGGCAGAATACATTAAAGGTCTGAGTTCGTTGGGTATAGTGTATAGTTCAATTGGCTCAAGTAACATACATGTCTGTAGACGTAGACTTGAATTTATATATCGATTTTAAAAGAATGCAATTTATGTTTTTTTTTCTACAAGATTAAATTATACTCACAAAATGTTTTATTGTAATTCAAGATATACTTATAAATACTTACGTATAAATTATAAAATTCTCGAAATCTACACTTATGGATACAAAATAAAAAAAAAACTTAATATACCACTTCTAAGTAAAATTAGTTACTATAAAAATTAAAAAAAAAATAGAAATTCACTAAATTTGAAAATTGAAATGTTTCACTTCATGTTCCAACTAGATAAATTAATATTATTCCAGCTAATTTTTTTCACCACCTTTTAATCAAAAGCGCATCACGAAGATTAGAGTGGTAGAGCGAGTCCCGACCATCGTCTCGTACTGAAGCAAACTTTAACAGTATGTAATCACACCTACAATTTGTCCTCGTGGGTCACGCCAGTCCCCAGTCAAAGGATACAGGACACTAGCGGAGCGGTGGCGGAAGCGGTCCGGCCTTATACCAAGTGAAACGAATTGGTGTTGCATCCTTAGAATAATAGTTTTTTTTTTAATTGAAATACGATATTAAACGTAGAGACTTATACGCGGTTTGTCAAAGACAGTCTAGTATGTTAATTTATAGATATTAAGCTTTCATAGACATTAATAAAGTAATGTAAAATGTAAAATTGTAAATCTACTTGTGAAAACTAGTTTTATTAATTGGAATTCTTAAGAAACGAAATAAGCATATAATGTTATATTTGTAATATATTCAGAAGAGCTCCAGACAACCTCTAAAAGCTAGAAATTTTAGGTAGAGCAGAGGGAAAACGTTCATATGATTTCATATGACACTATGTTAATAGTCTCAAGTTACGTGGTAGAGCTAAGCTGCAACTATGGTTGTAAAACGAATGGGTCGGCTCGACCGCGGTAGGACCACGCTCGCACAGAATACCCGCGTAAAATAGCAGTTTAAAAGGGTTAGCAGAGAACCGCTAACATCTTATTCCTCACTGGTAACAACGCATCTACGTTTTGATTCTTAATCAAAGATAAATGTAGATGTCTATGGGCCACGACATCCACTTTACCATCAGGGGAACTGCATGATCGTTTGACATCTTTAAACTGTAAAAAAAATTCTGGTCTCCACCCTTCAAATGGCTAAGAATGATGATTGAGTGGAGATGCCTAGTTGAACGACGTTGGTGTTTAACGTGCTGGTAACTGAGGAGTGCGACTGAGAAAAATACAATAGGTGCGTTTTAATGTGATAACATTTTTTTTAACTTGTAAAACAGCTTTACTTTACTTTATGTATGATTTCTTTACGGTGATAATATACCGTTATATTTGTATAAATGTTATAATGAAAATAATCCTCTCATAAATGAGAACGCTTGTTCCAAGTACTGGGGTTGTATGCATGTAGAACTGTGTTAGCATTTCTTCAAACAGCAGCGATCAACTGAACACGGTGCAACTTGCTGATTAACGGAGGTGGCAGTTGCCACCTAATGGTTGAAATTTTATTCAAAAGCATTAAGCCCTAAATTCATTGGAAAGTTTTAGAGGCAGCATCAACAGCGTGGCTATATATTTTTAGATTAAGGATATATCTCAAAAGTCGAAATGTTCTTAATTTTTAAATCTGTGATGCCTGAAATAAAAATATTGTACTATATATATATGCTTACTTAGTGTGAGAAGTAATGACGAATTAAATGATGAAATTAAATGAAATATCTTTATAACTTTATTGTCCAGTGATCGAAAAAGAAACGGCGAAAATAAGTAAGTAGGTATTATTTTTGCCATATTTTTAAGGGTCACATAGATTATTTTTTTATTTATTATACAGACAAAAATCAAATCAAATTTATCAGTTTTGTGTCATAGACTTTTAGATTTTAAGATTTTGGTAACTAAAGCATGCCATCGCTTTAAAATAATAGTCTTGTGATTAAAAAGATAATTGGTTCGTAAAAATGCACTATGTTTTGTTCTTAATAATGACGCAATGATTGCTTGCAACTGTCATTCTTTCATTTGCTGCAACAATTAGTCCTCGCGGCCCCCTCTGTCATGTTCATTTAATTGGCAATGAGCAGTCGTGAGGTGAAATATTTATTCGATAATTGCAGAACTAATTACATAATAATCTTTGACTAATGAGGGTATCCACACCTTTTTGTCACCAGGGCGGCGCCACGTAGAAGTGAGAAGAAATATTTGAAAAGGCACATGCTGGGGACGTTAATTTATTGGGAAAATTTAAGCGTTAGTGTTTTTTTTTGTAATATTAGTTATGTTTTATATTAATTCGATTAGAAATTAACAAACCAAACTACAAATATTCCTAAAAGTAGAAAAATTAAAAAAAAAAGAATAAAAAATGTAAAAAAAAACATTAGGCGACGAACAACTGAGGCATTGTTTTGTGTATTTATCTAACACTCTAGAAACCGATAAAATTTTATTTAAAAACCAACTTCTGTATTAAATAACACAAACATCTGACGAATGAAAAATTATTAACGCTCATTAATTGCATCATAAAAAATATATTATGTCTATTTCTTTTTAACTCTTCGTTCTTTTTCATTGTGTCTTTTTAGACAGTCCAATAGCCATTTGTTTTGTTTTTGTCACAATCGTGTGGCTGTATGCTGTATCTTTTGAATGAGCGCTCTTCTAGGAATGAATAAAATAATACCAAAATATGGAATGCTTAATTTAAATTATTTGTGATTTTAATTAATTTTTATGAAAATATCTTTAGTGATGTATGATAATTTTCGGCTAAGTGATAAAGAGGTCTTGACTGAAATTTTATAATACACAAGTGGCGTGAATACCATTCCAATGTCAACACTAGTGAAATAAAAAATTGTAATTTTTCCTTTTATATCCAATGTCATGAATACACTTCATCCATCAATCTCCTCCCCTCCCCCACCTGGCATTGCAGGAAGTCGATGGATGCAGGTGGCTCAGGACCGTGCTTTGTGACATTCCAAGGGGAGGCCTATGTTCAGCTGTGGACTTGTGAAGCGCTGTAATGACGATGACGATGATCATGAGAATACTGGCAAGTACTTACATAGTTTTGTTTTTCTAACTTTACAGTAAACATTTAAAGTATAAAAATGTACAATTCATACCTAGTTTAAGTGGTAGGACTCTTGTTCTGCCCAGGATTTCGTCTGGGCCAGTCCCACTCCCTTACCTATTTCTGCCAAGTAGCAGTGCGCGAACACCTGTGTTCCGGTTTGAAGGGTGTAGAATCTAGAGCCAGTGTAATTGCAGGCTGTGA